TGTTGAATTTTTACATATTAAGACTTAAAGTTCAGAGAGTTGAATAAAGTATAGGCTCTGGAATAGTAAGAGTAGTGCATTATATAAGGGAAATTCTTGTCTCACAGGAAAGGGAAAACATTTCCCATTACTCGTCAATGGGACAAAAGAGAAAAAATTAATAAGAGAAGGAGATCAGCTATTAGTGACCTGATTCTCTCTCCCAGCTCATAGCCAAAATTAGTATTAGAAGTGGTGGTGGTAGACCATTACCACTCAAAGATGGATTTAGTGACTCTCAAGCAGAGGGCATATTCTGCACTTTTCAGGACATAGCTGAAAGCTGGCAAGTAAATTGATACAGCCACCATGGAGAACAACATAGAGGTTCCTTAAAAACTAAAAATAGAACTTCCATATGACCTAGCAATCCCACTACTGGGCAAATACCCTGAGAAAACCATGGTTCAAAAAGACACGTGTAGCCCGACGTTCACTGCAGCACTGTTTGCGATAGCCAGGACATGGAAGCAAACTAAATGTCCATCGATAGGTGAAAGGATAAAAAGGGTGTAATATATATATACAGTGGACTACTACTCAGTCATAAAAGGAATGAAATTGGGTCATTTGTAGAGATGTGACTGGACCTGGCGTCTGCCATGCAGAGTGAAGTAATTTAGAAAGAGAAAAACAAATATCGTATATTAGCACATATATGTGGAATCTAAAAATAATGGTACAGATGAACCTATTTGCAGGGAGGGATAGAGAGGCAGACATAGAGAATGGACAGATGGGAAGGGGAGGATGGAATGAACTGGGAGATTAGGGTTGACATATACACACTACAATGCATAAAGCAGATAGCTAGTGGGAAGCTGCCATATAGCCCAGGGAGCTCAGTTCAGTGCGTTGTGATGATGGAGGGTTGGCTTGGGGTGCAAGAGGGAGATTCAAGAGGAAGGGGATATATGTATACCTACAGCTGATTTGCCATGTACAGCAGAAACTTATACAACATTGCAAAGCAATTACACTCCAATTAAAGATTAACTTTAAAAATGATACTCTTTAATATGACAAAAAAGAAACCCCTACACCTGGGACTTCCCTGGCAGTCAAGTGGTTAAAACCCTGTGTTTCCAATGCAGGGGGGCTTGGGTTCCATCCCTGGTCATGAAACTGAGATTCCACATGCCACATGGCCAAAAATAAATAAATAACCTATACCAAACAGCATACTTAATAGTAAATAATTAAAATATTCCTCAAACTTAAATGAAAAGTAAACAAACTAACCATTATCATCATACCCATTAAATGTTATAATGGATGTCTACCCAGTCCAGTAAGGGAAGAAAATGAAAATGATGGTAATAGGATTAAAAAGAGCAGAAATCAATGAAATGGAAAACTGAAAAATGGTAGAGAAAAATCAGTAAATCACAAGTTCGCATTTTTGAATACATTAGTAAAATTGGGGAAATCCTTAGATAAGCTGATTACGAGAAAGAGATAAACTACACATTTTCAATACCAGAAATGAAAAAAGAGATATGACTAGAGAGGCCATAGACATTGCAAGCATAAAAAAAGGATGATTTGAACAATTGCAATAACTTAGGAACTCTTAGAGGAAATTCTTTAAAAAATGTAACTTACCAAAACTAAAAGAAAAAAAAAGTAGGAAACAATCTCCATAGCCCTATATCTGTTGAAGAGATTAATGTCTTTAATTTAAAACTTCTGTACAGGGAAGACTCAAGTTACAGATGGCTTTACGAGTGAGTTTTATCAATATGGAAAGTGAAAGTGTTAGTCGCTCAATCCTGTCCAACTCTTTGTGACCCCATGGATTGTAGCCTGCCAGGTTCCTCTGTCCATGGAATTCTCCAGGCAAGAATACTGGAGTAAGTAGCTGTTCCCTGCTCCAGGCGATCTTCCTGACCTAGGGATGGAACCCAGGTCTCTTGCAAGCAGTTCTTTTACTGTCTGAGTCACCAGGAAAGCCCAATATGGAATGGAGAAATAATTCCACTCTTACAGAAATTCTTTCAGAAATGAACGCTTGCTAATTTGTTCTATGGAGACAGCACTATCCTGATCCTAAAACCTGACAAGTTATCCAGAAAGAGCACTAAAAATGAGAGACACTAGGAAACATGAAAGAAAGATTTAGAAATTTCAACATGTAACTCTCAAAAGTTCCAGATGGAGAGAACAAAAAAATATGAAATGAGACTATATCTCTAGTGCTAAAAGTTAGAGTGCCTTTTAAATTTTCTTAATTAAAGATACTGACAAATACCTTCAAATTATATTAGCATAAATTCTGTCAGATTAACAAAAGTAATTTTATAATGACACAAAAAATTTAAAATAATTAAAAAATAATTATAACTAAAATCTATTCAAAATGTGGCTGACTAGACATTTTCAGGAAAACAAAAACTAAGTCAGCTTGCTGTCCACAAATGTCACTAACAGAATTCCTCATGTATTTCCAGAAGGAAATAGAGCTCAAAGTGAAGTAAGCAGAAGCAAATTTAAAGAAATTATTATAATTAACATCTAAATAAGTCTAAATAAGCATTGCCTAAATAAATCCACAATAATAATACTGTTTAACTCATTGGGTGTCAGACAAGGTAGTATTAAAATAGTAGACAATAAAAACACAAGAAGTGAGCAAAGATATGAAATCAGCTAGGACCTTCATTGTTCCAGATAAGGTTACAACTATTGATTGTACTTCACTGTTTAAGCATGCACATTAAAATTTTAAAGTAATCACATAAAAAGGAGCAAAGGAGGAGGAAGAAAGGAAGTATGTATCTTCACAACAGTAGAGCTGGAGGGGAAATGATGATAAAATTAATGTAAAAGAGGACAATTAAAAAGAAAAGGAAAAAAGCTTAAAAATTCAAAAGTACAAAATAAGGTGATAAAAATAAAATCAAATACATCTGTACATAAAATAAATGTAAGATTTTAGATTTTACATTTGGATTAATATAGGCTATTAATAGAAAATGTTAGGTTTTTTTTTTTAATATATGTTCTTTTAAAAAGATATGCTAAGAGGTAAAAATACAGGTACCTTTAAAAAAGAGAGATGGGAAAATGAAATCTCTGTAAAACATTAGCAAAAAACAGTCAATGTACCCTTATTAGTATCATCTTAAATAGGCGCAGATGTATTTGATTTTACTGATCATTCTATTGCTTAGGTGCAATCAATCACATCCTGCTGCCAACAGAATACATTTCAGACTCTAGCATAACTTTCAAAGCTCTTCAGCTTTAGCTACAAAGTTCCTTTGGACAGTGAAGTTCATCTTTGATCTCTCAGCTCCTATCATAAAGCTAATATGAAGTAGAACTCAATATTTATTTAGTTCAGATGAAAGAAAAAAAATCATGATTCATGCAATCATTGTGACATTTACTTGCATAAGGTCCTTTTCAGCTTTTTTTAAGATATATTTTTCTCTGAGAACAAATAGAGAGGAGAAGCACATTTATACTGTGGATCTAATGTACTGACAACTAAGCAAACTCTTTCCCACACGGCTCTTTCCCTGCTTCCCCTCTATTGCTGTGCATGGTAACAACAAAAGCCTTTATTTTTTCAGAGGGTAATTTATGAAGAATTCCCTCTGTTTCTTATACTCCCTTCCTTTCCTCAATTTTCCCATTTTTTCTTCCTCCTTTCTTTTCCTCTCCCTTCTTTCCTGCACTCCTCCCTGCTCATTGTAAGTTGATCTATATTATTTAGAGCTTGTGAAAACAAGTGACGGTAAGAGGTGCCCAACACAAAAATAGAAAGTCTTTCCTGTTTAGATTTGTGAACTGACAATGACAAATTAAATGACTACTTTATATAAGCTGCCTCTCATTGGTCCAGACCTAATGGTTCTTATCCAACAGGGCATCTGGACAGCTATTCTATGAGTCCACACTCTTTCCTTAATCATCCTTGTATGCACTAGGGATGGTTGGGGTTCAGTTTTGCATGTGTGAGTGTGTATGTATAATTTGAAGAAGCTCTCTAAACTATTCTAATAGAATTTCCTTTCCACCAACTATAGTCCTAGAAGAGAATCCCTGATATAAGTGGGACAGTGTCACACCTGAAGATAAACACCTCTCTCTTGTGGAGCACAGCAAACAATATTCAGTATCTGGTGATAAACCATAATGGAAAAAGTACTGAGAAGAATACACATGTATGTATAACTGAGTCACTTTGCTATACAGCAGAAATTAAACACAGCATCGTAAGTCAACTCTACTTCAGTAAAATTTAAAAAACAATAAACAACTCTCTCACTACAAGATAAGCACCTCCAATGTCATCATATTGGGAACTTGTGTCTGATGATTTATACAATGAAGCCCTGAAGAGGACATGGACATTTTCGACAGAACACTTTTTTCATATTGAGCTAGGATATACTACCTCCTTGGCCCTCAACCTAAGTATGAATCAGCATCAACGGGGAGCCTTAAAAAATTAGATACTTAAGTTTCATACCCAGAGATATGAATTCAGTTGGTCTAACTTTGGTCCAAAAGGCATTTTTTAAAGCTTCTCCAGGTATTTCTAATAGGTAACCAGAACTGAGAAATCTTTCCCAAACTTGTCATAATTAAATCAGTGTCATTTGGGGAATTTGTTCATATATTATGAAGAGTGAGATCCAAGCTCACTTAGAACTTTTGCCCCCAAAATTATAGATATGAAGATGTATGAACTTTTTGAGGTGCAGCACATTATTAGAAGTCTAAGTGTACAGACTCTGTTGTCTATAGACAGTAATAAACAAAAGCTTTGGCAAGCAGAAAAGAAACAAAGAGAATACCCTTAATGAAAAATACTGAGAGCCTCAGGAAGTGATGGAAAGTATATAGAAAAGTAGATCAAGAATACATGGGGAAGGAACCAAAATGGGAAAAGAGAATAACAAGACAAAAATAAAGCAGCAGGTAGACGGGAAGGAGAAAGGATGCACAAGTTAAAATGTTAGTCAATTTTTTATTAATTTTTGTGATTTTCCACTACTCTATCCAATACCATATCTAGGTTTGTGGCCAATATTAAAACTAGATATCCAGTACACTCGTCTTAATTAATTTCCATTCCATGAAAAATTTAAAGGTGAATTATTATATTTAATGTGTATTTTTTACATTTTTTCTGATAGATCATTTTACATGATAGAAATGTACCTTTAAATGGCATTTCCAAGATTGAAACAAAGACAGAACAATTAAATACAAAAACAAAAGCAAAACCTTTATTCTTTGCCTTGATTGTAATGTGGTTTACCGTTCTTTATGGTAATAGCATTTTCCTGCATGCATTTCACCAACACACTACAAGTCAATAGCTTTAGTATAAAGAATCTACATTTAATGTTGCTTGTGAAAGAAACACAAAACGTTTTGATGTGACTGGTAATATAATTTCATTTATATGATTTTTGTGGAATAAAGCTTGGATCTCATACCATATCTGATAAAGTTCTAATGTCTTATGGGTTGGTAAGAATACGATCTATCTGTGTAAACAAACACTGGAAAAGACTGATGATTTACTGAATAAAAAGACTAGGTGGAAACATCTGATTCAAGCAATGCCAAGAATATCAACTCATCGTTCCTTAAGCCTCTTTCGATGATAAGGCATCACTATGAAAGCAAATAAATGCTGGACTCAGTCTGAGATTCGTTTCACATTGAAATGTGTGCAAAGTTTACAGTACTAATAAAAAGCAGGAATCTACACTGCATTTTAGTCTTTGTTTCTTACTTCGTGAAGTGCTTTAATTTAAAAGTGCTAGGAACAGAAACTAACAATAGTGACTGTGACATCAACCTGAAGATACTTTTAATTTCTCATTTATGTACAAAAAGGCTGAAAAAGAAAATAAAATGAACTTTGTACAATATTTATATTTTCTTAGAAAACTCTAACCGTATATTTTCAACAGAATTAAGCAGCTTGCGACATGTTTGTACAATTGGGCTTTTTACCATAGAGTATTCAATTAAGATTGGAAGGATAAAATGCAAGAAGCTCTTCATTGTTCGCTGCGACCTATTGCTTAATGACATGAAGAATGAGGTCTTGGGAGAACAATTTGCTTCACTTTACCACTGACATATGGCTTCCCATATTAGACTTCTGAACAGTGGAAAGAATAAGATGCAGCAGCAGAGGCAAGATAAACATGCAGCAGTGACAGCATCAAACTATAATGGAACCAATTACATCATATTACCTGTTGAAAGCTTGCAAACTCTACTTCTGTGGTACATATTTGATGCAATAAATACTGTGCTTAAGTCATCATTTTTGTTTGCTCAAACATGCACCACTGGGTAAAATTACTATTTACAAAGCAGACTTTTTTATTTTTTAAATTGACATATTCTATGTCAACCTTACCAAGAGCAGAAGATGGCTAAACAATACTGTAGGAAAAAGCAGAATCAACTTTATAAAGTGGTGGTGGGGGATGCTTTTTGGTCAGTTCAGCTTTTTAGAAAGGACTGATAGGATATTTTTATTTTATGCCAAAGGACACTTATCAAAAATGTTATAGTCATGCTGCCAGAACTCAGAATGACTATGTAATGATGTGTGTATATGTGTGTGTATACATATATATGTATATACATGCACATATACATATATACATGTACATGTAATGAATTATGTAAAAATAAAACAACTTTTGAATGCTTGTGGATTCTATGGAACATTTACAGGCACAGTAAAATTTTTCTGGATGAGACACCTTTAAAACATGAATAGCTATTTAAGCACCTCAAAAATCTGAAAACATCCTGACACAAGAAGTAAACTCTTTCCTTTTGGGACGAGATTTTTTTTTTTTACGTGAGAATGAGAAGTGCAGCATGCTTTCATTTAAAATATATCCAGTTATACAATAGAGAAACATAGAATTTCTTACCTTTACTCCCTCTCCCCAAACATAAACCCATTTACAAAAATAGTCACATATAATAGTAAACAACCTGTGAATTAAAACAAAAAGCGACCAATTCACAGCATACGTTTTGTAAAAATATGGCAGGTGTGGCAGTCAGAACATAAACACTGGTGACGATTACTGTTATCAAGTGTCGCATGTTGAATTTACATAAAAATTTAACTTCCCTCCCCCCTTTAAATTGGTTCCTAGAGTCTGAGTAGCCATTACTCTCTGCTCTTCAGCAGTGTCAGCTGGTTGTGAACACAGAAACCTCCTGTCGATGCTGTTTCTCTGGTTTGTTGAGTCCCAGTTTGCTGACCAGAGGCCCCTGTCTTGATATAGGCACTGACCTTAAGTATACATTTGTAAAAACAGTCAGTTTGGCATAGACCTCCTGTGGGAGTCCTGTTGACACCAACACATCACCATCACGGGCTGTAAACAATTGATCACAAAGTGGAATATTCCTTGTTTCCTTTTACTTTTTACTTTCCCTGATATCTTTCCCTTTGTCTTCCTTTTCTGATTTGTCTTTTTCAAATTTTTCTTTCTCGGGTTTGGTCACACTGTCATAGGAAGGTGGAGACGTGGTGGAAGGGGTCATGTCGGTTTTCTCTGGAGTTGAATTCTCATTGAGTTTATCAATGAGGATGTCTTCTTTGATGGGTGTTCCCTCCCCTTCTTTGCCGTTGTCTTTCTTATATATACATGAAACTTTTTTAACTTTTTGCTTCAAGAGGTAGCGTCTGTAAGCCCTCTGGATAACAATAGCAGACACCTCCTCTTGTTTGCGTTTCAGAGTGGTTGTGATGGGCTCATATGAGACTTTGGAGGGGTTCGATGCCATGAATCTTTCTTCCATCTGGATTCGAAGGGCATCCATCTCTCCACTCTCACCCAAAACACGCTTTGTAAAGGCAAATAAGATGTCGAGGCAGTGGATCCTGTCCCCACTGACCATGGGCAGGTCCATGGCAATGAGCTGGACTTTGTTTGGTTTTGCTATGAGAAGAGGAGGATCCAGGGCCGCTGCAAAATCAGAGAGCTTGGAGAACTCTATGAACTGGGTGGCGTCAGGATCGAACTTCTCCCAAACCTCGTAGAACATCTCAAAGTCATCCTCACTCAGGGGCTCTGCGCTTTCTTCAGTAGCAACACTGAAGTTCTCCAGGATGACAGCGATGTACATGTTCACCACGACCAGAAATGATATGATGATGTAACTGACGAAGAAGAAAATCCCAACAGACGGGTTCCCACAGTCTCCCTTAACTGAGCTGCCAGGGTGATCTTTTTCAGGGTCACAGTCTGGAGGTCCACTATTGAGGATAGGTGCTAGCAATCCATCCCAGCCAGCAGAGGTGGTAATCTGGAACAGGCAGATCATGCTGTTGCCGAAGGTCTCAAAGTTGAACATGTCATCAATTCCAACCTCCCTCTTAACATAGGCAAAGTTGGACATTCCAAAGATGGCATAGATGAACATGACCAGGAATAGCAGGAGGCCGATGTTAAACAATGCAGGAAGGGACATCATCAAAGCAAAGAGCAGCGTGCGGATCCCCTTGGCCCCTTTGATCAGACGCAGGATTCGGCCAATCCTGGCGAGACGGATCACTCGGAACAAGGTAGGGGACACAAAATATTTCTCTATCAGCTCAGCCAGAAACATACCTATGGAAAGCCAAGATACAACAAAAATAATGTTATATGTAATGGCAGCAAACGAAAATGTACATTTCTAAGATAAGCACTATTTTTACAAAATGTGGACATGAGAATTAGGTATACACACACACACAAGCACATACTAGTTTTATAAAATGTGGACATGAGAATTTGGTACACACACACATTTACATATACATAATCTGAAATATTCATTTAGCAAAATGAAACTGGTATGTTTAGTGCTATAACATTAATAGTTTTATACTAATTGAAGGCATTAATGGTCATTTTTCCTGGTTCAAGTAAAGCATATATCAAAAGACACAATATGTATGGTAGCCAAGCACAGAAATGGATTTATGTTTCTGAAATACTAGTTTTTACTAGTATTTGCATAAGAACTAATGGATAAAGCATGTGGTTTTAGATTAGGAATATGAAACTTAATTCTTCTGAAATGGTCTAATCAATTTTATTTGGGAGGTGGCAGAAGAGACAATCCAGGCCTTCCAGACAGACATACTTGGGACTGAATCCTGGCAATGATTTTATGCATTGCCAAATGGTGATAATAGCTATTGAATAGTTTTGCTGTTGTTGGTTAGGCTTAAGGTTTACTAAGTCTTTTCTTTGTGCTATACATAAATGCTAAGTGCATTTACTTTCATAATCTCATTTAATCCTCACAACACCACTTTACAAAAATATTTCTTGGGAAACCAGGAATCGGAGAGGTGAGATCCCTCTTGTCATAGATCACAGAACTGGTAAAGAGTGAACACATGGATGCACCTGATCAAGTCTGTATAACCCAGGAGTCTCCTCCCTTAATCACTACATTACTTCCCTATACACCATCATTGGGATCAAATGGAATGATACCTTATTTCAAAGTTCTATTTAACCAGCAAAAGTATATAAACAGTGGAATACGACTTTTCTATGTGTATGTTCTCTCTTCTCAAACAGGCAGAACTTTACTTCCGGCACCTGATTTAACATTCTACACACAAGAAATATGTATTGATGAAATGAATCTGCTTTGATTTTTTTGAACAAAATGTCCACTTTTGAAAAAGAATATTATACACTGTAGAAAATTATCTGAACCCAAAGATGACATGAGGCTTGTTTGAGTGTGAATATATATAAACACACAACATGCTATTCCAATTATCAAGGACAATTATTTGACTACTTCTATTGATTAATATGTGTACATGTGTGTGAATTGTTTATTCAAAGCAGTACTTGTCTACACCACAGGAGTATGACTATTATGCCAAAGTTGCAGTTATTTTCTTCCGGCATGAGACAAGATGATACATGAAAGCTGCATGTATAATATAATTATAAATAATATAAATTCTCTTTTTTATATATAATTTCATGCACAGCACACAATTAGATAAATGACAAGCTGAGAATGGACTCTTCATTAGACTTCATTTGAAATTTGGGGATGAATGAGAAAGTATTAGTGAAAAATACTCTAAAGTTTTAAAACACAAATTTTTACTCCTAAAAATTTCACTTGAATGAAAGCATTCTTCTTACCTACAATGGAGAGAATAACCACCACAAAATCAAAAATATTCCATCCAATGGTGAAATAGTAATAACGAAGAGAGATCAGTTTCAGCACACATTCTCCAGTGAACAGAACAATAAACACCAGATTAATCCAGTACAGAATGTTGGTCATTTCTTGACTCTGGTCATCAGTCTCCACCATCATGGTGACCATGTTGAGGCAGATAAGGATCATGATGCTGATATCAAAGACTTGTTTGGTTACAAAATCAAAGACCATCCCTTGGAATTTGTTCTGCAAAAAAAAAAAAAGGGAGTATGTGAAATTCCCTTAGAGACTGAAAAACAAATCAAATCCAACTTATCTGATTTTAACATAGCAATATGAAAATACAGCTTTTATTACAAAACATTCCATGTTTGCTTTACACTTGGAAGAAAATTTCATATACTGGAATATCCAGCTCTTTCCAAATGTATTTGTTCTATTTATACTGTTTATGATAACAGGTTTTGTAAACTGATTTTTTGTTAAGAACCACCATTTAGTTTCTCAGTGCCTAAAACATAACCATGCACACAGCAGACAGTTAGTAAATATTGGTCACTATAATGAATCTTTGTTATCTTCTGTGTTTGGGGTGAGCATCAAAATTAACTTTGAAGAACTAATGAATAAATACTTTTCTAGCTTTTTTGGGTCATTTCCCCCCTAGTTTCTTCCTTTATATTCCCCACCCACTATGAGCAGCAAAGTTACAGCATCTTAAATTCTACCTTAAAGTTTAGCTGAGAAGATGCTTTTAAAATTATAGTTCAAGAAAAAGGATATTGGTGGAATAGTTGGTAAAATCCAGTTAAATTCTATATTTTATTTGATAGTATCATACCAGGGTAAATTTCTTAGTTTTGCTGACCCATCTATGGTTATGTAAGATGTTAAGACAAAGGAAAGCAGAGTGAAGTTTACATGAGGTAATTGCTAAAAGAATAAAATCATCTTTTAAAAAATTATAGCTTAAAATTTCAATGTTCAAACTTTGCCCTATTCAATCTAGACCTAACTTCCAAGCACTAACTAGCCTTATGTCTTGTTTATGAAATTAAGTCCTTGTCTTGTAAACCAATTATGTGCACTGGGCCCTGTTTTTTCCTTCTTTTCAACTCTATGTGCTCAATATTCATCATCCTAGCGCTTGGAACTTGGATCACCTCTGCTAGGTCATCCTCTACCTTCTCAACTAGAACTACAGACCTTCTGCTCCCTCTGTGCTCATAGTCTGCATTCTAGATGGATGCCTTTATTGGTCTGGATTCTCTGTGCTCATGTTCTGCCCCTGCCCGACTAGTAGAGGCATCCATTACTCCATACTGGAATTCTGGGATATCAAGTAGTACTGGTTTGTTATATTTTGCTATTTTCTCTGAATACACATATAGCCTGATGGACTGGACTTGCCTTGTTTCAGCTGGATCTGTTCTTCAAGGGCCTCCTTCAACTTAAATGCATCTAATTCCAGTTCTAAGCCCCTTGTTCTTAGCTCTTGTGTACTGAAGTCTACCTTTCCAACCCTGGTTATGTTCCCCTTATTTCTACCCTTCTGATACTTGCTACCACTCTTGTATCATACTGTTTTATCTTGTTTATCCATCACCTCTGTCATAACACTTCTGTCAAGGAGCATTATTAGACTCCCCTTCTCAGTCTGGTGCATCCTAACTCAGTTTTAAGTTTTAAGCACTCTGTGATCTCAGACAATTTTGTGCTTACATTTTTCATAAAATTTATGACATTTTATTGTGAATGGTTTGCTTTTATTTACTTAATAAAATAATTTTCTTCTGCAGATACAGCACCTAGAATGAAGCAGATTCAAAATGGCTTAAAAGCAGCAACTTGCTATTTATGTTCATATTAGCATTTTCAGTAAAAATCTCTTTAGCTTCTCTGCCCGTTTAGTTTTCCAGTGGGTTAGGTCAACATACAACTCCACTACACAGTCATTGTCTCCAATTTAAATTTCAGAATATGCTGGAGGAAGCTGTATAACCTTGGAGGCCATGTTCACTAGAGGCTTATGTTTTCTCACTTTATCTTGGCTCTTCATAATGATTAGCAATCCTTTGTCCCTCACTTGCTCCCAGGATAACTCCAAACTTCTCAGAAATTTCCTATTCTCTTGCCCTTTATTCTTACTTCTTTTGTGAGAACACCAAAGTCAATTGTTATAAAGAAACTCCTCTACCTTTTCGTCATTTTATATTTCATTGATTTCCACACCTATCTTTTTACATACTACTCCAAATTCATGGAGGACTCAATCCCTTCTACTCTGTAACCTAATCCACACTGTTTTTGAGCCATGGCCTGTGCAGTTTTATTCTATATTTATTCCCTTTCTCTTCAATCTCTTCCTCTCCAGAATTCCTGCTTTGCTCTGACACTAACCTCTCAATCTTTACAAACACTATTTTACTACTACTTCTAACATTCATTCTCTTTCGGAGTCCCCTTTTGATTTTCAAATTCTGTAAACTAGCATCGCTGATTGTTTTCTCCATTCACGTCCCTACTTCTTATTCTGTGTGACTCCACCGTCATCCCGTGTGTAAGGCAGAGACTTATGAGTCATCTTTGTTGCTTCCTTCTTTAAGTCTCGTATTCAACTAACAAACCTTTTAATTTCACTCCTATGATAGCTCACAGATCCATTTTATTTCTCTCCACACCACTCCGGTTCAGGCTGAAATAGTTCCACCAGGAGTCTACACTGCACACATGCCTCTGCCGATGCTGGTTCAGCGACAGTCACAACACCCAGACTGACCAGCTTCTGTTCAATGGCTTCGCTTTGCTCTAAGGACAAAGACTTGTCTTAATGTGGCCTAAGAAGCCCAGCAAAGTCCGGACCGTCCTAACCTGTTCATTCTCACCATGTCCCAAATGAACCCCCACCCTCTGCACTCCAGCCTCACTGGCCTTCCTACCTCAGACCTTCACATATACATTCCTCTTTCCTTCTTACATGGCCTGTAGACACCTCCTCATTTTCCTTCAGGCCTAGGCTCATGCTCAGTAAAGCCTTCCTTGATTAATCAGCCCCTTCTTTCTTATCATCTCTCATAGCTAAATGGATTCTTTCCTTCTTGGATATTTCTATTTGTTGGTGTGACTATTTGATTACCAAATAGACTCTCTGTTTAGTATTTAATTCCAAATGCTTAGCATCATACATTGTAAATGAATGACTGAATAGATGGATTTTACCACATATTGTTGCCAATAATATTCTAGCTAAATGCACTAATCATTTCCTGTGCATCCCTACCCCTATTAAAGTAAATCTACATGATATCTGATGTAATTAAACAACCGCTAAAATTTTTTTCTCATTATCTACATGTATGTGCTGCCTTACTAATAAATCTCACTCTTTCACTGATTTACCTCTTCTATAATGGTGAAGTGCACAAGGCTTCATGCTCAGCAATTTTTTTTTTGGTATATTATAATTATCTTTCAAAAATGAACCTAAGATTTAGAGCTCAATTGAATTATGTCTGACAATGACAACTCTAAAATCCTTATCCCATATTCATAAGACCTAATCTTTCCAAATGCCTTTACAGGACTTTCAGTTACATTAACAGGATCAATAACTTCGAAAAACATTAACTGCTTTATATTCTTTATTATCTATATGTCCTCCCTCTTTTCCTATATTTTACAGGTTCCTCATCCCACTGGGCCTTCTTGTTGGCTCATTTATTTCCAGTCCTATTGGCATGACCCTATACTGTGGACTCATCTTCTTGTGTGTAAGGGTTCATCTTCTTGTCTAAGCCCCAGCACTACTTTGTCTCTAACATTTTCCCATACCAGTCCCTAAAAATCTCTTTTTCTTCACATTACCATGCTGTTCACTTAACTATATCGTATTTTTACTTGGCTAAATTAAATGGATTTATTCGGATTCATAGTGGGCTTGACTCATTTGACCCAGAAAACCTTGTGTTTCCTACTTACTATTTCAAAAAATAAATCACTATTCTCCACTGCAATATTTATTTCCATGACTTTGGAGTGTATGTTTTTCCTTTTCTCCCTTATCCGTCCCAGTTGTATTATTTCTCAAAAAGTAGGCTCAAATTGTACATTCCTTATGTTTTGTCCAATATTACTATCCACTGTCTTTGGGCTTTTGGCTAACTTACAAATAGAACAGGGGCATGACCAGTTTTGGGTTAGCTAGTTTTACATCATCACTAATGTAGTCATAGAGTCGTGTTTCCTGGGGAACACTTTGATTACCTTGTACCATGTGTGCCTTCAGAGAGGAGTTCTGAAACATGAAAGAACTCAGGGACTCTTCTGACAACAATTCTTGACAAGCAAACAGACCAGTAAAGTGAAGTCGCTCAGTCGTGTCCNTTTGACTTCTGTTATATATTTCTCTTGCTAGACTAGAATTATTACTGTATGTGTTGACATAAGTATCTAAGTAGGATCTTTCCTTTCTGAAAATGAGTCTATTGATTCATTGTACTCAGCAGGTCTTAAGTACTGTTTCTGTAACAGTGATGCGCTCTCTTATCTAACACAGTTCTGGTTTGTTTGTTTTTTCAAGTATGAATAATATTGATAATGTTCAACTCTTTTAAAGATATGAAAGTGAAAGTGTTAATCACTTAGTTGCATCTGACTCTTTGCGATCCCATGGACTGTAGCCTGCCAGGCTCCTCTGTCCATGGAATTCTCCAGGCAAAAATACTGGAGTGGCTAGCTAGTCTCTTCTCCAGGAGATCTTCCCAACCCTGGGTTTGAACCCAGGTCTTCTGCACTGCAGGTGGATTCATTACCATCTGAATCAACAGGGAGGCCTTTCAAAGGAATATTTACCCATTTCCCATTCCCCCACCCCACCCCCAGCATACTAGAGTTCTTGCAGTTCTTGGCAGTACTTGCTATTGCCAGACTTTTAAATATTGCCAATCAGGAAAGTATGTAGGTAATATTTAATTTTGGTTTAAATTTGCATTTCTCTCTTGACTAAATGAGAGTAAGGGTGAATAACTTTCCATACTTTTAGAAGCCAATTGAATTTCATCTTTTGTAGTATTTGAATACTGAGGGATTATATAATAGTATGACCTCTGAAGAACTGATACTTTCAAAACTGTGGTGCTGAAGAAGACTCTTGAGAGTCCCTTGGACTGCAAAGAGATCAAACCAGTCAATCCTAAAGGAAATCAACATTTGAAGGACTGATGCTGAAGCTGAAGCTCCAATACTTTGTCTACCTGATACAAACAGCTGACTCATTGGAAAAGACCCTGATGCTGGGAAAGACTGAAGGCAGGAGAAAAAGGGGGCAATAGAGGATGAGATGGTTGGATGGTATCACTGACTCAGTGGACATGAGTTTGAGCAAACTCTGGGAGATAGTGAAGGACAGGGAAGCCTGGTGTGCTGCAGTCCATAAGGCTGAAAAGAGTCAGACATGACTGAGTACCTGAACAGCAAAATACAGTATTGTATGCTAAGTTATTAAGGAAGAAACTGAAAGTAATTTGCATGTCATGTAGGTTATTGATTAGAAAGTTGGAGAGAATTTTGAATTAATCAAATAGGTAGGAAACTACTGTAGAAAATGAGATAATGTAAGAAAGCCTTTAACATAGTGAGTGGCAATAAACAATAAATTATTAATATTATTCAAAAGAGCCTATAAACGGGACTCCTAATAATAAAAGAGATAAAATGCAGGGTGTCGAGCTCTTATAGTTTCTTTTTTTTAATAAGGGGGAAAAAATTCAGGAACTCTAAGTTACCACCTGCTTTTGGTGTCAGAGATATAACATCTTGAGCTTAATTACTATACTCTGACAATATATGAGAAACCAATCTCTTTTTTAAAATGTGATTTCCTTCCATATTGTTAAATAGTGAGAAATTATATGGAGATTACCACAAAAAAATTCAAAACTGCTGATTTATGAAAGCCCTTTCTATCATAAAAATTTATTTCCAAAAAGAAATATGATTATATTTGTTTTGGTTTTTTTTTCTTTTATCATTATTCAGACTTTCCTATCACAAAAAATATCAAAAGCTGGAGGAAATCTGAGACAGATGAAGAAAGCACCTGTAAGGGCTTTTAATTCATGGCTAGAACTATTAGAACCAAAAACAAAATGTCTCTATTTACAAATAGAACAAATAGAATCTACAAATTTTTAAGTGCCAGTTGCTATTCTAGACACTAGGAGAGATATGTTAGAACATTCACAGTGAACAGAGAAATATATCCAAATCAAATTTTGGAAGAAGTAATGTAAGGTTGAATATTTTATTTTTCTAATGTAGATATTCTGTATAAATCGACCCATGGTTTTATTTTATTGACAATATCACTAAATTATAACACTGTAGAAATAGTCACTAGATCTAATTAAACAATTTTCCCTCTAAATAGACTTACATTTCGTGAATCAACTGCTGCATACATGATATCCATCCATCCCTTAAATGTGGCCTGAAAAAAAAGTCACACCATTGAATTTTTTCCCCTCGCAAATTATAATTCTAGAAGAGACTAAATATCAGATTTATTAACCAAGATTTATTAAAAAACAGGTATATAAAATAGTTTGAAATTAATATTCAAACTCTTTTGGCAAAGTTTTAAAACATATGCATTGAAAACTCTTCCTTCATGTTCTTTCATAACATCTTTCTATTTTGACTTTAACATCTATACTTAAATCATGACAGATTAGATTATAACAATGTGCTATCATAAAAGCAATTATCAACAACCTTTGACTCTTATGTATATATACAAGAATGTAACATGAAAAAATTTCACATATATAGTATTACCTTCAGACAAACAAAAATATGTTGCATTATTTGATCTTAAGGTTGTCTTTTCTGCTTATCTTTTCTAAATGATATTATCACCAACCACCAGTCATGATGGTTTGTTCTTGAAATTGCCAAATATACTATTTTGAGGCAATTATTCTGTAAGGGAAAGCTTTATAATCTAAAAACTATTATACCTAACTGCAATTTACTTTTTAAAAATTTTGGTTGAAGAGACATAGTAATTCTGAAGACAAGTCATCAAGTCATGTACATTTGTTTTTCAGTTTCTTAATGCCACAGGACCCTGCAGTATTCATCTCATGTTGGGTATCATGTTAGTGGGTCGTCTCAGGGAGCATGTGAACATGACTTAAGAGTGGTCCGTTGAGAAGCTAAATGGAGTTTTATGAAATTATAGCAGGCATAATAGACTCGATAGGAAGGTTTTCATTTGCAAGAGAGCACTCTCCCTATCTTAAGGCATTCAAGCAACAGGCAGGAAGATGGATAATCAAGGGAGGAGTCTATGTGAGGGGAATATTTGGTTATGGTGTTCGTGAAAGTTGGGCGAGTGGAGACTTGGCAAGGGTTTAGATACTGTCTGGTATCTGAGAAGGACAGAAATCTACCACCTCTCCCCCTACCTTTCCAATCCCATCCTCGGGCCAATGCCTCTACTCTGCTCAGACTGGGGAAAACAGTGGGAAACTACATAGAAATTTCAGTAACAAAGACTTGTTTTGGGAACCTAAGGCATAGTCTGGGAAACTTTAAACTTTATACAGCCATCCAGTCTCCAGCATGGTGCAGAAAGACAGTTAATCCATGATTAAGGAAGAATCTAGGCAGATGGGCTTAAGGAAATATGTATTGCAAACAGTGAGCAAGAATATCATACTCATTTTAGTAACACATCACAGTGAATAATAAAGTGGTTACTTACTACTTGAAGCAGAGAAAGATACCCAAGTCCCACATTATCAAAGTTGACTTTCACATTTTTCCAACGGGCAGTTTGGTTGCTATCTATGAGGGCCTTACATTCGCTGTAGTTGTTGACCACGCTGACATCAAACATCTCTCCAGTGGTGTAGTTAATACAGTGATAAAACTTGCCAGCAAAAAGATTCACCCCCATGATACTGAATATCAACCAAAAGATCAGGCAGACCAGAAGTACATTCATTATGGATGGAATGGCTCCTAAAAGAGCATTGACAACAACCTGGCACAGCAAGGAGGTGGGAAAAGAAGTGAAAAGAGAGTCAGCTCTAGGGAAGAACTAGAAATTTAGGTCATTATACATGAAAACTCAACAGAGAAAATATAAAAATCATTCCAGTACTGAAAGCTTGATTCTCTTTTTAAAAAATTAAAATAGTTGCTGTAAAAATAGGTTTTTGAAATTGGTAAACTGAAAAGAATTTAATAGCTACTAAAGAATTTAATAGCATTCCTTTCTATGATACCATGCACACAGAAATACAGAAGCACAAACACCTCCACATATCATCCATTTCTGGTTGTGTTTGCAACATTCAAAGAAAATCCTAAGTAACTATTTTAAAATATCACAAAACAACACCTAAAAGTTCCTTTTTGAATAGCCAAACCTTCCTGGAGAGGGTATCATCGTTTCCTCAGTGCTGAGGGTATGTAGTCTCAGGTTTTATGCCTCAGGGGATGACAAATGGCAGTATAAATGCCTCCCAGTTCCTTTGTACCACCCTTCTAAATGAGGGTTAGATTTCCACAGCTGACCTACTTTTTAGCTAGCTCAGCCTTTGTTTGAGAGCAAAAAGGCCAGGACTGGACTTTAAAAGGCTCAGGAGACATCATATGGAGCAGGGAAGAAAAAGGATGAGGAATGATTTGGTGGTTTCAAATTACAGTGAGTGGGATTTCCTTCACATTTATAAACTAGAATGAACATAAGTAATGTTAACTCACATCAGAAGTCTACACAACATGCTAGAAATTTCCCACAGAGTGAAAAAGTCTAGGTAGAAGCAATCTCATTGATTCTAATTAGAAGCCATCATTCAGGCATTATGTTGTGTGAGTGTCTCCAAAAGTGTCATTTATGGATGTCTGACAAATATTACTGATTGACTGGTTACATGAATATGAATGTAGAAGACACAAATTTAACCTGGATGTGTCATATCTAAGGTTCAAAACAGCAGTTTATACTGAAAGTGTTAGTTGTGTCCCACTCTTTGTGACTCCATGGACTGTAGACCTCCAGGCTCCTCTGGCCATGGAATTCTCCAGGCAAGAATACTGGAGTGGGTAGCCATTCCCTTTTCTAAGGGATCTTCCTAACCCAGGGATCGAACTCGGGTCTCCCGTATCGCAGGCAGATTCTTTACCAGCTGAGCCACCAGGGAAACCCTGTTTTCAATTATAATTCCAACAAATACTAAAGCATTCGGTCTTACCCTCATTCCTTCAAACCGGGATAAGGCTCTCAGTGGCCTCAGAGCTCTTAGTGTTCTGAGGGATTTGATGGCACCAAGTTCTGAGTATCCCAAAGCATTTGCAGTTAAGCTAACCAATGAGACCTATACAGAAAAAAGCAACACAATTTTCTTATTTATAGGCAAAAAACGTTTATACAACTCAACCTTGCTCTATGCAATAAACCAGTTCCAAAACTTTAGTGAGTATCAAAATCACTTGTTGTAAACAAGGATGGCTGGCCAAGGTTCGGATGAGATCTGAAAATTTGCATTTAAGTTCCCACTTAAGCTTAATGATACTGGCCAGTGGACCACTGCTATAAACTTATGAAAAAGCAGCAGCAATATATGCTCTTTTTATCAAGATTCTTGACAAGAAAATGTAAAAGAATTAAACGTAAAGAAAGACAAAGAATGACACCAAAATGAAATTTTCATCTATAGATGTATAAAACTTTATCATTTCTCATATTAGTTAGCAGACCTGAAAGAGTAATTTGGAAAAAATTAATCTATAAAATTTTCTTAAGGAGTTTCTATATTTTTCCTAAAATCTAAATTTTTAGACTTTGCAAATCTCTTCAAAGACAAATGAAAGATAAAGTTACTGAATTATCATTTATTGTGAAGATTTTCTAGGTATAAAACATGAGGATTTACAGTACTTTATCTTCTCTGAAGATAGGATGAAAAAGAGATAGGTATAAATTAAAGAATGAAAGATAAAAGTTAGACATAAATTCTGAACAGGGGCAGTATTTATTGGCTAAAGAAGCAGTAAACATTCAATTTTATGTGTCTTGTGTAGTTGAACATGAAAAGGAGATACATGTAGACCTTCTTCTCTTTCTGGTCTTCTCCTTTTGGCCTCTAAATAGTAATTTTCTTCCATTCCATCACTGACATCTCCAGCAAATTTCTNAATTAAAGAATGAAAGATAAAAGTTAGACATAAATTCTGAACAGGGGCAGTATTTATTGGCTAAAGAAGCAGTAAACATTCAATTTTATGTGTCTTGTGTAGTTGAACATGAAAAGGAGATACATGTAGACCTTCTTCTCTTTCTGGTCTTCTCCTTTTGGCCTCTAAATAGTAATTTTCTTCCATTCCATCACTGACATCTCCAGCAAATTTCTTTCCCTAAAAAGGATGAGCTTTTCCTGTCACTTTCCATAGATACTCTTCAATATAAGAGTATCTTCGAGAACTCTTCAATAGCTTCTTCGCTAAATCACTAAATCATAGATCTATTAATAAATCTCTTTGAATGGCATCTCAGGTCCTTCAACCTCTTCTTCAACTTAGCTTTCTTATCAACCAATTACAAAGTATCAACCAATTACTTCCCCTCACCCTGTGGCACAGAGCTTATCCTACAGGGCTACTTGGTGATTGAACAAGCCCTGCTGGGCACGCAGCAGTGTCTTCAAGGCTCTGATGTCCTTGCCTCATCTGTGCCTGCTGACATTGACATCCTTCAAATGCCAGTTCACACTGCACTGCCCTCATGAAGCCTGTGCTTCCTCCTCAGCGAAGCAGATGAAACTTCTAACAGAGATGTCATCTTCTCATTGTATACATATCTATCCTCATTAGTTGACTGTAAGCTCCCATAGGCCCAGAAAATGGCATACATATTTGTCTCTTCCATACAAAATAGATGATTGATAAATATGTTTGACATAAATCAAAGCATTAATGTATTATCATAATAATTTTCTTAAATCCAAGAAGATAAACGTCAGAATATACTAGGTAACATGAACGGCAGCTCACAGATTTCTCTTAAGATTTTCTTTATATTTAGGTAGTGTTGACTTAATGCCTTTATTATTACATGGATATAGTAAACATAAGATATTTTTATTAAACATTTACAGTGTATTTTCTGTACACAGAAAATAAAGTATCATCCATAATCTCATTATACAAATAAAAGAACTGGCATTGTAATGGTATATTTTTCTTTTGCTCATAGTGCTCAAACACATGTGTATTTTTATTTATGTGTATTATTATTGTCATTTTGTTGCCAGTAAACTTTTGATATAATTCCACATGTAGCTTTATATGTTAATATAAATAATAGGCTTGCTTTATGTAGATTCAGCAGAGGAAAAGATATTTTAGTCTCTTAAATTCAAAGAAATCTCTTTATTTCTTACAAATTTTTTCTGTTTGGTGACTAGAAAACTCCTACTAAATTAAGTTGAACTTTTTTCACCTACAATTATAAAAACTAACTTTTTTCATGAAAGAGTCCATTTTTCTCTTTTTCTAGTATATGTAAATTTTATATATCATAATATTTCTTTAATTGCCAAGGAGTTATTATAATCAACAGAATGTTATCTTAAAGTTCAGTACTTAAAACACACATTGTTCTTTCCTAAAAATTTCAGTGTCTTTCTTGTTAATTAATCTGAGTATCATTCTATCCCCTCCCTCCAGGCTTCCTGTCCCTTGTTCCCTCTGGCTCTCCTAGTTTTTTCCTAGACAAAAGGCCTTAAATTTCTAGACAAAATTAGCTATTAATTTAAAGGCATTTAAGAAGTATATCTTCAAAATTAAATAAAATTGATTTTTAAAATTTTGTCTGGTTAAGATCTTCTTCAAAAATTTCCCTCAGAAGTAAGGGAATAAACTCATATTCATATTTTTTAAAGCCTCTTACTTTCTGGCACTGCATCTTATTAATAGATTATGTTCAACACCAATATAGTTTCATAAAACTCTTAAGTAATTGGCCCATAGCTAATCTGTTTCTACGATCATACAAATCAAGAAGTGTCTCTTGCTACTTGGACTTCCATATTTCTTTGTAATACTAATGCACCTGTGGGACATACTTTGCAACAGGTTCTGGAGATGACAAAAATGCTAACATCAAAGATGCCCGTGAAGAATATAAATACAGTTATATGTGAGAGTGATAAAGCAAAACTTCTACATATATATATATAGCTTTGCATAACTTGGGATTTTAAATATTAATTTAACTATTTTGTCTGTGAAGCTCTGGCAAAAAATGTTTTGGGGCATTTTCTTATTGGGAAGATGGGACCCATCATTTATATTTGGGGTCCTGCAGTCGTAATGAGTGCCTACTATGTGCCAGGCACCAAGCGAGGACTAGAAGTTAACATTCACATGCCAATGAAATGAAACAATAACAGGCAGAATACTCACATCGACGATCAGGAAATCTAGCCAGCACCAGGCATTGGTAAAATACACTTGAAAGCCATAGGCAACCCACTTGAGAAGCATTTCCAGGATGAATATATAAGTGAAAACTTTGTCAGCATATTCTAACATGGTTTTAATGGTTTTTCGCTGTTCAATATATATATCTTCAAAGGCCTGTAAGTGAAAAAACTCCATTGAATTTCATTGTCATAAACTGTCTCTAATTGGTATTTTATTAGAAAAAATCATGCTTGCAAGCATATTTTCAGGTGCCTAAGGCTGGAAGACTTCATGCTTCCTAGAGCTGCATTTTGCTCTGTAGTTATCTATATGCAAGTGATTCTTAATTGGGCATTTCAGTCAACAAATCAATTCAAATAACGTTTAAATTTTGGTTCAAGATATCCCATCAGAGCTCAAAATTTTTGAGACACTGCCAGCTGCCTCTGTCTACAATAGGAGGCACAAAATCATCTGCATGCATATATGCTTGCTCAGTGCAGAGTTGCTTGACTGTAACCCTAAAACTGTAACCCTAAACTAATTTAGTGATGAAAATATAAGGCAAGGAGTCCCCTTAGCTTGGGGAAGGGGTGGGGATTAGTCTTTTGCTTTCTCTCTCTCTCTCTAGCTCAGTCTGAGCATGTATGTAGTTGTCAAGAACCTCCCTTTGCCACTATTCTGCAGAGCTCTTTGGAAAGGGCAAGGGAACTCACTTGCAGGAGTCCCTGGGTCTTCTGGAATGAAAAGGGCATTAATAATTCAATCCCTTTACAGGAAAACCTATCAGGACTTGGTGATCTGGATCAAGGAGAAAGGAGAAATTGGTTTTCATTTTTGTTGGTTTTCTGACCATTCTGTTGAGTGAAATCAGATATAAAATAAGTCTGCAATGATCTCACTTTGCTACTTGTGGGTAATTTAATCTATTTACCATTCAATGTGGTTGGCACTAGTGAACTGGCATGAACACAGCAATGGAGCTGATGTTAAGCAGATTGATATTTAGCTGATAATCCCATACCCTGTCTACATATTGATTCTAAATATGAACTGGTTCTGATGACTAAAAGTTAGAAGGGTCGTTCTTTAAATAGTCACAAAAAATCATACTGATCTAAATTTGATTCAATCTCAGGCCTACAGCAGAACAATAAAACTTGCTACTTAGCGAGCCTCTCACACTGTGCTAAAAATATCATACAATGTCTCTCATCTTCACAAACACCTTCTTGTGAAAACATGCAATAGGAGGTTGATTGAGGGGAAAGGTAAATGGTTTCAAATAAAAGTAAAGGAGCAGATCATGTTACCTACCAGTGCCCCACTGCTGACCAGAATCATGAAGACAATGAAGGTTTCGAACCAGTTATGCTCCACTATCTTATAGCAAGTTTTTCTCAAGTTCCACCAGAGTTTCCCTTTGCCTTCTTCTATGCTTATCTGACAACACTTAAATTTCCGCACACAGTCTAAAATATGTCAAAGTAAATGAAGAAAAATATCACTCTTTGATTATGCATATTTGTGTTGGTGGGAGATTCACCTACATTATTATTACCTGATACGTTATAAATAACTTTATTTTTTAAGATGGCTTTCATTTGTAGACATAGAAATCATCTATACATTTTAAAATCATTCATCCAAAAACTACTTTTTAGTGCTTATGGGGCTAGTTTAATGGTCTAATAATATAGTATAATGTATTACATTATAAAACCACAGTACAGAACAAGAGAAAGAAATGAAATCACCAAAGGTTAGTATTTCCATCCTATCCCCACCCTATAATTCCACTCACATTTGAACTTTATATGTGATTTCTAATTAGTTCACTAATTACAGTGTAAACATTTCCCTTTTAGTCACAACTAAATAGAATTTTGGAAAGTTTCACAATACTTCTCTAAATAAGATAACCAGACATAAACAAGAATTGAGATATCCTACTATTATTGAAAATGTATGTTTCTGCAACTCCAGCCATTATCAGTAATAATGTAACAAACACCTTTGTGGTCTACTAGATCAAAGGCTTCTCAACAAATATTTATTGCATACCTGTTTATTCAAGGAATTATACTGGACAACTATAATACTAGAATATGCAAAATACCATGTCTCTATAAAAACAATATGCATTTCAAGTAGGGAAGATTTGTCCATAGATATCATAGTTATAGAAAGAAAAATATTGTTAGAGTTTACCAGCACGTTAATTCCTAATATTGAGCTGTACAGAAGAAGCGGATTTGGGGTTAAACTTTGAAGGAATGGAGAAGCAGTGAAATAAATAAAATTTGGTGGCAGGGAAGTTTGGAAATTGTATGAAGTAGAAAATCGGGAATTACCACCAGAAAAGACAGCTAGAGCCAATCTGAAAAGGACCTGAAAGATTCAGTTAGAGAACTTAGATTTTGTGTGCTACCTAATGGGGACAACACTGAAGGATTTATTTGGGGTTATGAAGATTTGCCTGATGAGAATATTGATTTAGAATGATCTATGCCTATACAAGGCATTGGATGGATAGAAGACAAAAGATGGACAAGTAGTCAGGAGTCTAGGAGATTCAGTCAATGTAACATGAAAGAAAGTGAAAACAAGGGTGATGGTGGTGACAATGATCGGGGCAAAAGAGTCTACTAAGTTGACAGGACCTGGTAGCACATGTATATGGGGGCCCTGGGGTGTGAGAAAGAGAAGATTTCTGACATAGAGGTTTAACTATGACAGAGAGCTCTTGTTCAATGAATAGAAAAACGGAAACCTCATTTTGAAGAAGCATAATATTTTAATGCACAGATATTTATCAGATGCTACTTTATAATGTCAGCCTGATCATATACTTTGTTTCATGAAAATTTAATGAAGTTCCTCTTAAATATTATTAGTTTCTCAAGTAATAAATAAGTAGCATATATTTCTTGTTTCTTTGAGGGTGGTCTTTTTCATATTTCTGTCTCCCAAAGGATTAAGAAGAGTAACATGCCTTGAAAATATTTGTTGTAATGAACTAGATGGAACTGAAATTAGTTTTTTTTTTTCCCTTAAAGAGGATATGAGATGAAAAAATACTGTTCAATATAAAAAGACCAATGTTAGTGGGAAGGATAAACGCCAAATTTGGGACACTGGTTCACTTCTGAGAGGGAAGCAAAGATGGGATAAGGAAAGGGTACAAAAGGGGTCAAATCTGTATCTGATTTATTCTTAAAAAGCCTGAAGCAAATACAACAAAAATATTCAAACTGTTAAAGTTGGTTGGTGCTGCTGCTGCTGCTAACTTGCTTCAGTCATGTCCAACTCTGTGCGACCCCATAGACGGCAGCCCACCAGGCTCCCCCACCCCTGGGATTCTCCAGGCAAGAACACTGGAGTGGGTTGCCATTTCCTTCTCCAGTGCAGGAAAGTGAAAAGTGAAAGTGAAGCCGTTCAGTCGTGTCCGACTCTTAGTGACCCCATGGACTGCAGCCCACCAGGCTCCTCCGTCCATGAGATTTTCCAGGCAAGAGTACTGGAGTGGGGTGCCATTATCTTCTCGTTGGTTGGTGGTGAGTGTCTAAGTATTTTTTATTATTGTTTTCTATAATGTTATGGTTGGTGATGCTTTATACTGAAATGTTTTTTAACTTCACAAAAACCAAATGTTGATATTACCATAAATATTATTAATATATTGTGACCCTAAAAATAAGCTAATTGTCTGGGAAAGAATAACAACTAGTGCTACATAAATTATTTTTGTGATATATCTAACCTCTTGAATGTTCTGTGAAGTCATCATTTTTTTTCAAAATCAACTAACTTCATTGAAATATATGCAGAATTTTGGAGGAAAGAGTGGAAAAAAGTGGCTTCCCTCATAACTTATGCTGAAAAAATATCTCTTCCTCTGGAATAATTTAAAAATTGACAATGAATACATAAATATTTGTTTTCTCTAATGCATTCAAGTCCAAAAGCAATAGGTATATGCAACCTACTCATCTGCAAAACTCTTAAATCTATTGACATCAATTTTGATACTTGCATAACCACATATTTTTAAAATTAGCTTAAAGTTCAAACTAAACAGCTTTAATGTTCTTAAATGAAATGAAAATGAAGGGAACATTTCTAGAATTAGTTGTAATTAAATAGCATTACTACCATCATTATTAAAATAAACTTTTGTTTAAGCAATTATTATATGGTATTGAATTTGGGGCTAAGATATAGGATGAATTATTAAATAGATATTAACCAAAAAATGAGTTAAGGATGGAGTGATTCCTAGGGTTTTAGAGAAACAGTTCTGTACCTACAATAGAGATTTGTCATGGTCTGTGCTATTGCACTAATATTTTATGCCTCTTTGTTTGTAGTATACTCCCACATTGAATCTAGATTGGCACTTTTGCTTTGGTGAATAGGACTGAGAAAACCTGATGTAAGTGGAGGATTGATAAGTGCTTGGCATTTAGGCTTCCTCTCTCACTCCTTTTTTTTCACCATGAGGACAAGCCTGGGCCAGTGTGTGGATAGAGCTGAGTCAGGCAATTGTCTCATCTAAGACCTCAGCCCTATGACTAATCCTAACCAAGATCAGCAAGATCATCTTGCCAGCCATGGACTTGTGAGCAAAGATGCGTTTTTTATTATATAATAAGTTTTGTGTGCTTTGGTACACATTATTATTGTTCCAGAGATAACTGATCCACACCTCAAAAAACATAATTTTAGCTTTCTTCACAAAATGCTTTTAGTATTACTACAATGACATAGTGCCCCATACTGTATCACTCAGTATATTTTGATATTTCATTATTGATTATCTAGTATCATTCAGAATAAATAAGATATATTTGACCTTGACAGATACAGGTAATTGTTATTCATGGACAGTTCCTTTTTAATAACATAACCACATTTATTTAAGAATGTGTTCTGATATCAAATGGCAGAGTATTCATGGACAGTTTTAAATGTAAACTAATCAATTTGTACCATTATAACCTGACAAAACCATAAACAGTAAATTACTCCTTCAACTTAAATTTTTTTCTTTTATTTTTTAAAGGTAGAGAGAGAGATGCATGATTTAGTTTTCTCGCCTATCAAAGATTCTACAAGGCCACCAAAAGACCCAGATAGTCAGCAGCATTTCTTAGAGTAGAACAGGATTCACAAAAGTAGAAAACTGGATCTGATGCCATAAATTAAATCTTAATTTTTCAAAAATCATCTATGCTTTGATATAGAAAAAGCAACCAACAAACAAGTAAATGTACAGTTGCTGGATACCTATAGAGGATTAGAACGAGCCAGAGACGGAGAGAAGAGACGGCTAGATCAGAGAGAGGTCTAAGGAGCGTCCATGCTCTGTTCCTTACCTTCTGTAAAACAGGCTTCAGGCTCCAGAGATTCTTCAGGCTCAGCTTCAGGTTGTTCTCCCTCAGCGGGAGCTCCTATATCAACTGTGCTGCCTTCAGATGAACTAGTGGCATTTAGCTTCTGAAAATCAATTCCACAGAAAAGCTTTTAAAATAGTTTCTTTAATCTATAATATAAAAATTCCAAAGGCGTGCCCTTAAGTCTTCTGTATTCATTTCCTTGATCTGTAATTTAAGAATATCTTAAACATGATGCCAGTCCGCTTTGGTAGAGGTGGGGGGTCACAAGATTAGATACAGCACCACAGTACTTTTTTTCCTTTAAAAATGTGGTGCTAACAACTTAAGTAATCTTTGATTAAGCTCCTGTATAAAGAGAGATTCTGAAATAAAATCATGCAGAGCTTAAATAAGCTGCCAGAGTTGTATGGTAGTCTGTGATCTTGCTTTTGTGAAGTAGTTTAGCTGGTTTTATTCTAAAATTGTGACCCAACCAACGGAAGCTGCACAAATGTATTTTCATGTCAAATGCAGAAAAGATTTGATCAAACGCACATAAACAGCAAAGTCTAAATTTATCCACTTTTCATTGACATGAAAACATATACCACTGGTTGTTATTAAACATATTCTCTAATTTTCTAATTCTGAAAAGAGCAGCACATTGTTAGCTTTATAGCAAGAGCCGATTGTTTGCATTCTCTTTGGCCAATGCACTCCCGTGTTTCATTGTGCATTTGGAAACTACTTGTTACTCTGGCACTCTTACCTCTCCAGGTAATAAAGGCAGAAATGAATCTTTGGTTGCTGTTTTGTTTTCCTTTAAGTTAAATCAAATACCACCGAAAGAAAAATATAATACAAAGAAGTTGTTTTAAATCTTGAAATGCAACAAACGTTAGCCAAGTCAGGTCGTTCATGGGGTCAGCATAAATGAAGGGATCCAGTCTTTAACCCGGTCTTAAAATGCTGCAGGAACGACACAGGGCCAGGTATGAGTGCCACATGGAATCAGAGTAGTTTGGGCCACAGCATTCTCGGACCTGTTACAATGTTATTACTATTAGTGCATAACATTAGGAGATGGCTGAGCTGACAGGAGCTACTTTATAAAGGGGATGAGGTAAGCACATGATAAAATGCACACTGAAGTATGTTGAACCCATTCTAAAATAGATGTTGTGCTCAGTACTACTGGAAACATTTTATTTATATTTGGGCTAAGGATTCTATGGATTTCCCTAAGAAGCTGGTTCCTTTATTTTCTGAAAATAATTTTCTTTATATAAAATATTTCCTTGGCATAGTGGTGCGGATAAAGTAAAAATATTTATACACACTATAGATATAACAGAAATACTTTTGTGTATAATTTAACAATACCACTGATAGAAGCATAAATATCATAGGTCTCCTCCATTAAAACTGGTTTAGGATTATTTTTAAAATCAACCAAACCATTTAAAATTAAGGATTACATATTATAAGACACTTGAAGTTTATTGATTTCTTTTTCTACTAACCAATTATATCACAACATTGGACAGATACTCAATTATAGTATCTTTGTTTTTACAATTTGAATATACAGTATTCTAAGATGAAATATTACATGACTTTTTCTAATTTCCTATCCTTTATAGCTAAATTATCCTATCAATCTTATTTACATGAAGATGTTATAGCATTTGGGACCTGAAATATTGATCATATTATTTACTGGATATTGAAACATGACATAAGTAATCAGAATAAGTGAAGCATAGTTATAACTAATCTAACTACAAACAGCCCAAACAAGAAATGGAAAACATTCTTTTCAGGAAAAAGGATCACACTGCAATTACGGGGTTGGTTAGGGATTAGGGGATGATTCTAGGTTTACTGTGCCCCACTTTGCCAGGATTCACTAGAGAATTTCTTTGATGATCCATTTTCAGGGCGCTCCATACTGGTGAATGGCCGCATCAGAACTTGCAGCAGTGCTAGGTATATACAGCTCAGGTACTCTATAAATATTCTTTAGGGAAGGTGGGAGGGAGGTTCAGGATAGCGGGAAAAAGGTATACCAGTGGCCGACTCATGTTGATGTATGGCAAAAATCATCACAATATTGTAAAGTAATTATTTTTCAATTAAAATTAATTTTAAAAAATCAAAAACGAATGAATGAATGAGCTTCTTCATAAAAGAATGAAGGCTAGTCCTTGATAGTGACTAGCAGAAGTCACCAGACAACATTCCATGGAATCTTGGTTTAAAATATTCAAAAGTTTCCAGATGATCTCTGTAACATCAACTACAATACCTTTCATTTAGTGTGGTGTCTTAGTACCGACACTGAATTAATAGATATCTTTCTAATTGAAGTCAGACATTGGTATAGTTAGAGGTCAGATTATTTTTTAAAGGTGCAACATAAAAGTTTTGTGTTTCTAGAATATGTATCTCATCAGATTTAACCCTCTGAAGCAAAGATCATGCTTTTGTCATCTCTGCCTCCCTAGGAACTATCACTAATGCTTGTGTTTAATAGATGTTCATTGAATAAATGAATGAATGCCCAATTCAGGAACTCTTTTATCCTACCACTAACTACTTCTAACACCTCCTATCTTTTACATTCACATTCAAGGGAATACACATAACATTCTCTCGTCAGTACAGAGAAACACAAATCTCTTCCACATTCTAACTTGCGTAAGTAATGACCAACGACCTTTAGAATCAGAAGCTGTCTAAACAACAGGCTTCCAATTAATCAGACCTAAGATGAAACTATAATATAAACTATGAAATAAATAAAGTGTATTAATTCTGGAAAGTATTAGGAAAGTATTAGGAAAACCGACACTAACTCATTTTGACAATGCCTTTTCTCTTTCTACTCTATGTACATGGATCTACAATTCAGCAGTGAATGGAACCTCTCTAAGGAAAGGCAATCTCATCCTTCTCCATCTTCCTCCTCAAGTGGAACAGCACAGGATCTGCCTGTTACATGATACTTGAGTACCTTTACTTGTTTTACAAATTAAAAAGCTAGGGTGTACATTAATCCTCAACACCAACCAATCCAGTGTCTAGTTAGAGAAAGAAATGTGGCTTTAATTATCTTGTCAAAAGGCATACTGAGTTAGTAGCTGGATTCAAGGTCTTCTGTATCCCACTTTGTTAGGATTCCCTAGAAAACTATTTGATGATTCATGAGTTAAGCCAATCTTTATCAATTTAAAACATTTAGTAGATGTGATATGTAACTAAACATTGTAGGTTCAGAATAGTGCTTGGGATACTGTGCTTCCCAGGTGTCATGACCATGAACTTAGTATTAGTTTGTTATAGTCACATTCTTATATGTATTAATATAAAGTTAATATTAAGTTAAATATACATTGGGACATTTCATTAAAAACCTTACTTTAAATAACAATCTTAAGATGTAGGCAAGAAATTCTGATTTATAAAACCTTTCCTGACAACATCAATTCAAGGACTTTCTTAAAATCACATAAGGCAAATATCATAGTATTATAAAATATGTTAACTAAAACAGTTAATATGCATTAAAGAGTCTATAAAATCCAAAGGAATCAAATTAAGAATATAAAAACCTTTCAGCTTCAGATAAGGTCGTAATCTCGATTAATTCTAACTACAGTACAAATTCACCAATTAGAATTGTCAAATGTACATCATTTATATGGAATTATCAGTACTAATATACTTAAAAGAATAACTTTCAAATAAAGCTTCTCTGTAAATTTTCCAACGTAGGCATCATTCACTGCAAAATGCCACATGACTAAGAGAGCAAAAAATTAACCACTTAGAAATAAGACCAGTTCTTCTTCACTTTGGTAAAATTTAGATGTTTAGGTTCCCTTATTATCATCTGTGCTTATTTACTGGAAGACAAGTGAACTGAAGAATACTGTTAGTACAGCCCTTCCCTACTCAAACCTTAAATTTGGATGTCCTCCAATGTCAGGATAGTCAAGAAATCAAACACGCATAGAGAATTATTTGCTATGCCTGGCATTGGCAATCATTTATTTTCAGGTGAAATATTAGCTGAACTTTTATTTTTTTAAGTGAAAATTTCATGGTACATGGTTCTCACTACTGAAAGTCTGCGAGGTCCCTCAAAGTGCCGGGTCACCATAACCATAGGAGTTAAGCAGGGCAGAATTGTATTTTGCTTAATGATCTGATAAATAAATATCAAGTTACAATATTTCATTTCTTATTTTTAAACACTATACTTCTAACTTTTACTTTCCACATCACTGACAAACTATTACCAGATATCTGCCAAACTCATACTCCTTCTCTCAGAAAGTAGAAGCATTTTTAAAAACATAACACAGAAAAGGGACAGAAACATCATTTTCTATTAAGTTTTTCAAAGGTACACTTTTTTCTTATTATGAAGTTAAAATATTTTTAAGAAAATGTAAACAATAGTCAATAAAAGAAACTGGGATTTTTTTTTTTAAAAAAGAGAGACAATTAAAATATAGATTAAATCAAGTATTCCATATCTATTTTGGTCACCAAGAATGACAATTCTTTGCTCCATGTGGATCCTAATTCTAGTCTGTACTTAAGGAATTCTAGGTCATTTTATGTGAAAAATCCTAACATCAAAGTAATGAAAGTGATGGTTATGGTTCCTATGGGATAGGCTAAAGTGACACATTAATAATAGAAAGGAATTATTCTTCTTAGTAAGGAAAAACAAAATCAAAACTGTTATTATCATCATATTACATTATTCAAACAATCATTTTTGTCTTTATAACAGACACATTTCAAAACTCTGTAATCCATAAATAACAAAGTTTTAAATATCTTTCTTGGGATGGCAAAAATAACCCTTAAGTCCCAAAGATTCATGTTTGGTCAATTTTTTTTTTCTTACGTTTAGGATATTTAGAGCTTTTTAAAAATTCTTCAATCACTATCCCACTGGAAAACTTTCCCTTGAAGATTTATACATTCTCCAGGATAAAATTATAGATGGGTTTTTACTGAAACCATTCTGCCACTGCTTACCCAAACCTCCCCTACACAACCTTCTCTCCTTTCTGACTCCCTGTCCTAGAATTCAGTATACTGCTCTCCTAGGGCTTCTCTGGTGGCCCAGTGGCAAAGAATCCGCCTGCCAGTGCAGGAGAATAGGGTTCGATCCCTGGGTTGGGAAGATACCCTGGATAAGGAAATGGCAACTCACTCCATTATCTTGCCTGGGAAATCCCAGGGACAGAGAAGCCTCGTGGGCTACATTCCGTGGGGTCACAAAAGAGTTGTACATAACTTAGCAACTAAACAACAATAATAACTCAGAGAATAAGAAAACTAATCTTTCTAAGAAACTCTTTCTAAGAAACCTTTCTAAGAAAACTTTCTAAGAAACCTCTTTCTAAGAAACTAGGGAAAAGAAGCTATTATCTTAAGGAGTCAAATTTCATACTTTTCTGAAGAATTAATGCATAACAGGAAAAAATAATTCTCTCTAGTTACTGTGTATATGGGTATCTGTTTTATTTGGGGTCTTAATTTATATGATTAATGATATTGGTCTCATTCTTCCAGTATATAGGGTATTATCTTTCATGAATATAGAGTGCCAGTGACTGAATATTTTGTTCCAAAATATTTTTTAAAATGCTCCCCCAAATCCATGATCGTTGCTGCACCCAAAGAGCCAAATGTGCTTATGTTAGGGTTGTTTTATGCTTTTAATGGCAGAAGGAGAGGAAACTGCATCTAAATTACAAAGCATTTAATTAACATTTCTTGAAAGAAATTAAATTGGGTTGAGCAATTTGGTTAACATATTTTAGTAGAAAACTGTGATTTAAACATCAGGAAATGAAAAGTTCTGCTAAATGGAGCCTACACTCACTGCCTTAGCTGAATGACTAGTAGGTCCCTTCATCTAATAAATATGAAAGGAGTAGAGCTCATATTGGTTTTCTTTCTATATGAATTGTGTTGCATGATATATTTAAACAATATTCTTTAAGAGAAAGTTTCCCAGAAGTTTTAGTGAAACAAAGGAGAGACAAAAACATAAAGTATAGAGGAGCAATATAATGAAGAAAGTAGATTTCAGATCTTTTTTCAGAATGAATATACCATCTATAACATTTTTGTTTGTTTCTTTTTCTTCCTTCTTTCTTTCCTTCCTATCTTTTCTTTTTGGTGTACAAAAGAAATTCATTTCCTTTTCTTTCATTCTCAGGAGTTTTAGGGGTAAATATCAACAGATTTTCTAGGAGAATTGTATTCTGAAGGCAAAATACTCTTGGTCAAGTGCTAAATAGAGCGATACCATTTTCTCTGAAATGAAGCAGATAAAAATTGTACCAGTGCTGCTGGCAGCAAAAACATTACATTCCATTTACATTATTATCACATTAAAACATCCTTTAGAAAGTTTGCACATGAATAAGGGGTTGCTCTAACTTGCAGATTACCCTTCAGAAAAATTTAATATGCCACTGAACAACAAATTACAACAAGGGACATTCATGGGGCTTTATTTACTTAAGAAAAGGGCAGTGGTGTGAAAGTGCCCTGGAAGAGTTTTTCAAAGAGTACCTTATATTTCTCCTTTAGACCCTTAGCATGTTCAAAACTCTGTAATGTTAAATGGAATTAAATAATCTATAAACGCATGCACTTTTATTTTTCACTGAATGTAATTTCCATAAAAATCTATGTAAGAAAATTAGCAGCTACCTCATTTTTTTAAAAGTTAGGGTTGCCAGACTTGCCTGACCATGCTTTATGACTCAGCATAAGAGCAGCTGTGCATGTTTTTATTTTACTGCCAATGGATGGGCAAGGAATGTAGCTGAGTAACATGCAGGCCAGTCAAAATTCATTTAGAAACTAATTATATTTATATATGTACAATTTGCTTAGGTAACCTGGGTAAAAGTGGTGGCAGGAGTCTCTGGCTGGTTAAAAAGCACCAGAGCTGCATTCTTGATGGCTCCAGCTTGCTTTTACCCCTGTGAGAAGTAAGAACGGTAAGCAGTGAAGGTCACCACATTGCACTAGTAAATGTTACTTTGAAAAATAATCATTCAAGCATGGCTTAAGTTATTAAAACTCTATAAAAGAAATCAAGCATTTGAAATCAAAAGTATGAAAGGAATGACATTACATATGGTCACAGTAACTTTAGTTAAAGCATACAATTACCATATGAATTTAAAATTATATACTCCAGAGAATCTACAGAAAGCTGTCAAAGAATCACACAAATTTGGCAAAGATAAAATAGAAGAGGATTTAGTTCAAACACCTAAATAATCTTTGTGTCCACTTGGTTAGTCTGCCTTATAAGAAGTGATTCATTATAGGCATTCCAAAAATTGAAAGGTGCTTCATTTTTTTCCTTTAATATTTCAAATCATTTAAAAAGGATATCATTCAGTATGAATCATTCAGTATGATATCTTATTCCATTTGTTAATACTTCACATGTGATATTTAATACCACAATCCAACCCTACCAATTAAGAAAATGACCAGACAAAACTAACTTGAAGGCAGAACCCTAAAAAGATATCTCAGGTGGGAATATTTGTAATTCTTGAATACTTGTTTCAGTTCTCTTTTGTTTTCTAGTGTAGCATTACCAAAATGCCAGAAGATTGGAACTTGAACATAGGCCCTTCCTAGACTATTGCTCTAATCCTTTATTTGTTTATGAGTTTATATTTAAGAAGTTTTACATAAAGCCATAAATGAAAATTTTACCAAATGATATATTTTAAAACACAAGTAGCAATCTCTACACAAGTACTGAAAAGACTCCACAGCTAAAACAACAAAATAATTCTACTTTCAACTGGCAGACCAGCTCTCTGCCTCCCATTCCAAAGCGGTGACTTCACATGTGTTATTTTGGAATACCTAACTCAAATGGAAAACACATGAAAATGTCTAATGTTTACAAGAGAAACTGAGAAGAGAGTTTTGATTTTTCCTACTATAAGCCCCACCTTACTAGATATTTCTCTAATGTGAAACACAATGGTTGGAGATGAGGCAAAATACATGCTCTTTTGGAGAAGTTTGAGGTTTTAAAATTTCTGAAAATTAAGAATAGCGAATGTCAAGTTATCCTACCTCAAAAGATACTCAAACTTAGCCAAAGGTTTAAATGGACTGGTGACTTCAATGTTTGATTCATCATAATTCATTTTTAATTAACACCATAAATTAAACATGTGCTGTGCTGTGCCTAGTTGCTCATTCATATCCAACTCTGCGACCCCATGGACTATAGCCCACTAGGCTTCTCTGTCCATGGGGATTCCTCAGGCAAGAATACTGGAGTGGTTTGCCATGTCCTCCTCCAGGGGATCTTCCCAACCCAGGGATTGAACCTAGGTCTCCCACACAGCAGGTGGATTCTTTATCATCTGAACTATCAGGGAAGCCCAAGAATACTGGAGTGGGTAGTCTATCCCTTCTCCAGGGGATCTTCCCAATCAGGAATTGAACTGGGGTCTCCTGCATTGCAGGCAGATTCTTTGCCAGCTGAACTAAATTAAAGATACATTAAAAATAAAAATTGACCTCCCTTATTCTAAAGGAGGTATTTACTATTAGGTAAAATAATGAGAGGGGACTACATATTAAAATTTAATGACCCAATTCTATTTTCTAAATGCTGACCTTAGTGACTGGGCTTCCCTGATGACTCAGATGGTAAAGGATCTGCATGCAATGCAGGAGACCTGTGTTCCACCCCTGGTTGGGGAAGATCCCCTGGAGAAGGGAATGGCTACACACTACAGTATTCTTGCCTGGAGAACTCCATGGACAGAGGAACCTGGCAGGGAAGTCCATGGGGTCACAAAGAGTCAGACACTAAGTGACTAACCCTTAGTTTCTAGAAACTTACAAGAAATTAGCCCCCACCATTTCAGCATAGCCCAGCCAAATACACCTATCCAAAATTTTTATCTTACAAATAAGAACAAACAGAAATAGCATCTTTTCCCATTACTATATAGGATAAATACAATAAAACTGATTAAAAAATCTAAGATTCCTTTCTTAGAAATACATTTTTGCTCTAATTTTATTAACTGATCCCTAATTTTTGTGACACTGTTTCACTACTTAAATTACATCCTTCAGTGTCTCCAACTTTCCCAAATCATCATTCTTAGGATGAGAATAATAATAGAGGTCTTTCTGTTTCCTGCCAATCAATTAAAATGACAACAAAGAATGAATCTTTGTTTTTGGTTGTTATTTTTATTTGTTTATGAAAGTGTTAATTGCTGGGAATTCTGGCTTTATTTCTGTGTAAACAAACATTAAGGGTTTAAATTCCTTCTCTTTATTCCCAACATGTGCTTATTAATCTATAAATAAACCAAGAATATACCCTGGTATTTATACTCTTCTGGTAAATCAAAGAATTCTTTAAATTACCAAGAGTCTTACTGTAGTTGGAAAATTTAGAATTTTACATTTAGACAGCATGCACTGTGCTCAGTAGGGTTAAAGATATTTTCAACTTGATTCTTCATCACTACCTTCATGTACTTCAAACAACTGTTTACTTCAGGAGACATGAAACTACAAGTAAATATCAAGCCAAGATCCCAATGATACTTCCATTAAAAATATGCCTGTGAAAACTAAATAAAATCACATTTTATGTTATTCCATAAGAGCGAAGAATGTAGCAAAATGAGGATTGGAATTGCCCCTCACCAAGCATTTTTCTAGTATACACAATAAAATACCATCATGGGAAAATTATAAGGAAGAAAGTAGATAAACTGAGGCAATTTTCACAAATAAAAAATTATTTTAAATCTTTTTTAAAATTTATATTAACCTGAATATTAATATCATCAGCAACTCAGAATGGTGACTACTTGAAAGAATGAGTTAACTATCATTTGCTTAGCTATATACTATTATATTGTCAATTTATCTATCACCAATTTTGCCACAGAAATTGTGTCAATAGGTATTTCCTATTTTCTTATAGAAAGAAAATAATTTTTAAAAGTCTGGATGGTTTAAAGCAAACATAATACCAAAATATCTTCTTATGTAGAAATTCCTACCTCTTTGCTTTCTTCCATATCTGACTCGCTGCTGAATTCTTCAGTATTTAAATTTTCAAAGTCAGACTCTCCGACAGCAATTGGTACAGTCACAGTGAGGCTGGGGTTGTTTATGAAGGACATGTAATCACTTTCATCCACGACATATTTCTCTACACTGCTGCCTATGCCACTGGTAGTTCCATTGCCATCTTTGAGATAATTGAGGTCTTTGCCTATTTCTATAGTGGTATGGTTGGAAATACAGCTGTCTTTTTTGTTATTTAGATCTTCAAGAGGTTTGATTTCATCTAAAGCTTTCTGCTTTCTAACAAAGGCTTTCTGAATAAATTCACGTATTTTTCTCTTAACAAAATCGATTCCTTTCTGCATCCTTCCCACAGCAATCTGGAGATTATTCATTTCATTATCATCATCAGTGGCGGCAAGATTGTCAGAACTGAATGAACTCAAGAGTAAGGCCAGGAAGAGGTTCAGAACCTAAAACACAATAGGAAAGCTGGTGATCAAAACATTCCATTGTTTCTATTGCTCTGAACTACAAATTTTCCAAAGTTGTTCTTACATCTCACTTTTTGCTAATAGATATTCTTTCTAATTTATGATAAGCTATCCTGGAAAAAAAAATACCCGGCCAATAATACTAAATTAACACTATCTACATTTTAGTCATTGCAAGATTACTAAAACCACTGCTATGTAAAACTTCTATATTAAGTTCAATCCCAAATGAAAAATTTTAGCTATCTAGGTAACTATACAATGAAAAAGAAAAAAAAAGTTTTATTTGGGATGTTAAGTATTTTCCCCATGTAACCTGGGTTTTCCAGGACACTGATAATTTATTATACTTTTATTCCTGAACCAAAGATGATTCCACTATATTTAAATATTATTTTATTTTTATGTTTGTACCTATTCTTGCACTTTAGATAATTTGTCAATTTAGAAAAAATATATACCTACCAACAGATCAAAACTCTCAGTTTTTGGTTCAGAAAATCATGGCCACTAGATTTATACAGTAGTTGGAAATAGTATAAAGAAACGGTTACAGACCACTAATTAGTCTAACAACTTAAGTCTTCAAAAATAGGACCCACTGATATGGGTTTGCAAAAAGATTAGTGACCATAAATCTGCTATGTACACTCAAAAAGAGGTAATTTACTAAGAAATAGAGCACTCTCATGGGCCTAAGACCAAGTATATGAGTCCTTGATCATTCAAACAGACAGAACAATGACAAAAAGGATATGGCTCTGAAGGGGTCCAAAGACAAAAAGTAAATAGTACAGAAGAGGAATCCTTGGAAAGGTTTTAAGTGGAACTCCAATGAAAAGGATGCTGCATTCTTGCTATATTCCTATCTTTCTAATCGGTTAATGAGCCTCAGAGTTCCTTTGTCTAACCAGTTATGAGTCAGTCTAACCAATGGTGTTCAGAAAGGCAAAAACCTATAAGACCCAACAAGGACTACACATAATTCTGTGAGTCTATACTGACATCTTTCAGTTACCATACCATGGTTGCTAGTATTTGTACAAAGACCTGCTCCTTCACATCTGAAATTTACCAATAAAATTATATTTTATTGTGATTTGCCTTGAATGTATTATTTGGATAAAAAGAGATGAAAGAGAAAAAATTAAATACTACATTTTGGGTTTTATCCATAATAAAACTGAATTTTGGTACCATACTTTTTTCTAGATTTGATTTATTAATTCATTAATGAACTTTTTCTATTAGGAACTTTTTCTTGACAAATATTAGTCAACCTTCCCAGAGTGAGATCCGACTATAGTTCCTCTCAAAGCACTGGAGCAGGTATCTATTACGTGTCATTACATTTAATTATGTAATGTAATTTTTCACATTAAAATTAAAGCACTGGGTAAGAATCAAGTTTATGTCAATTTCTCAGTGCTAAGCTTACAAGACTGTTCTCAGGAGTCAGTTAAAGGATCCATGTGGCCCTCACAAAGCTACTGGCACATGGTAAAGTGCCAGTTTGAGACAGTTTAGCTGTTATATCACTGTTACTATGATCCAACCTAGTCTCTGTTATACTGTCTTCAATTTTTCTTTTTTGTTTGTTTGTTTTCAATCTAATCTCTTTTTCTAGACCTCCTTTATTACCAAAGGGTATTGATCAGCATAACAGCTGACCAAGGTGGTGGGGGTGACCAAAGGCAATTTAAAGGAATACAGTTCAACAACCTTACTCAGGAACTTAAACCTGGGATCCTGTTTCACACATGGGCATGGACAGACTTGATAGCTCACTGAGTGAAACTGTTTCTTTCATATGTCCCCAGATCATTCTCTTGAATAATAATTTCCATTTGGGATTCAAGATTGAAACATATTGTCTGTATCAACACTTTTTCTAGCCTGATTTTTAATTGGTGAGAAAAGCTCATTTTCACATCCCTCTTGTGTGCTAATGCCCCACTTAGAGATAGAGGTGGCTACTTCTAGATGTGGTAATCTTAAAAAAAAATGTATCTTCTTTCAGCAGCACCTATCTTGAACCTGTAAGAGGATTTCTGGCCATAGTGTTAACAAACCAAGATGATAGCATGGGAAAAGCAATCTACAGCCCCACCTCTGTCTTGTGTGTGGACTAGGCAGTGATTACTTACACCTCTTGTGGTCAAGCATTACATGGAAGTTCATGTGTGTTTACAGGAGGTTATGCCAGCTTGTCTTTGGGGGACATTAGCCTTTTTGGTGAAGATGAGAAGGAAGAATTGTAAGAAGTAGTGCACCAGGTTCAGTCAATCTTATTTAAGGAAATGTGATATGAACATATTTCCTTAATAGTGATAAACATGACAGATATAATTACCAACTTAGTTACTCCAGAAAACATATACAAGATATCACAAAAGAAGGAATACTTTTTAACTTCTAGTAAATCAGGAGATTCTTTAATTTTTTAAAAAAGGTACAGAATTTAAATATATGCCACTAGGTGGAAATTATTATTTTATCTATTATACCATTTTATGTATATGTAGCAATCCAAATTAATATAAATGACATCCATAGGTATGAATACTTCCTGAAATTCTCTTTTCAACTTGAAATCCTTTGTACAGTTAGAGAGATGTGTCCTATTTCAGTAAACTAAAGATGATATGTGGTATGTTGAATTTCTTTAAATTCACTGTGTTTTCTGGCTACATAAATTCTACCCAATTCCACTTGCTCACTGCCACTTTCCTGATAAAAAGACATCTGTAGCTTTCAGCTGTCTACAGGAAAGAAATATTCAACTTGGTAATGCATAATCAGCCTTTCACAAATTAAACTCTACACAGTCTGGCCTCAAACACTTTCTGCTACCTCCACTATGAATTTTCATTGCTTGTGTCCAGTCTTCTCACGCATTGCTGGCATAAAGGATTCTGTTCTCTGCCTTCTATTCTCTTCTTCCAATGTATGCCAAACATATAAATGAAATCAAATCAAATCTAAAATACAAACCAACAACATTTTCTCTATTTTTCTTCTAGGTAGCCCTGTGATCATTTCTTCCTATTCCATGCATTCTTGCATCTTCTGAAAGCAAGCAAGTTATATCTGGAATTGTAGTGGTTTTAAAATTATTTGATGCTCATCCCTTCAAAAGTTAAAGTCTAATCCCTTTTTCTTAAATGTGAGCTCTTTTTAATGACTAGTCAACAGAATATTGCAGAAGTGACAGCATGTGACTTCAAGAGTAGAACATAAAAAGAGTTTCCTCCTTGCCCTTTGCTTTGTGTCTTGTGCTCTGGCAGAAAAAGCCAACTGCCATGTCGTGAAGGTAATCAACTCTATGGCGAGGTCCACGTGGAGAAGCTGAAGCCTTCTACCAACAGCCAGTAAGGCTGAACTGGGACCTCTTACCAATAGCCATGAGAGTGAGCCTTATTAGAAGTCAATTCTTCAATCTTAGTCAAGATAACTGTCTCCCATCAACATTTTGATAGAAATCTTTTAACCAACCCAGGGCCAGAACCAGATAAGTGGTTCCCAAATTTCTGACCCACAGAAACTATGAGATAATTAATAAATGTGTATTGTTATAAGCCACTGTTCACATTTCTGGATTGTACGCTATTCATGTTTCTTATTATTTTAAGAACAGGTTAGAATTAACAACAGGATACTGAGAAGACTGAAATATTGCAAAAAATATAAATAAATGATATTTTTTTGTTTTTTCCCTTTTCCTTTTCTCTTCCTCTGGGGGACTGAGCCAATCAGTCCACCCTAGAGGAAATCAGTCCTGAATATTCATTGGAAGGACTGATACTGAAGCTGAAACTCCAATACTTTGGTCACCTGATGTGAAGAACTGACTCATCTGAAAAGATCCTGATGCTGGGGAAGACTGAAGGTAGAAGGAGAAGGGGATGACAGAGGATGAGATGGTTGGATGGCATCACCGACTTGATGGACATGAGTTTGAGTAAGCTCTGGGAGTTGGTGATGGACAGGGAAGCTTGGCGTGCTGCAGTCCATGGGGGTGCAAACAGCTGGACATGACTGAGCCACTGAAATGAACTGACTGGGGGATTGGAGGTTACTTTTAATGTTAAAGAAAATGAAGTCTATAAATTGCAGACTTCAAAATATTGGTTACAATAGTCCTTGTTCTATTCCACTGAGTTGGGGCCTGGTCAAGCAACTTAGTATAATAAATTTAACATATAAGAGTCTGATCCCTCTCACATAAATCTATTGTCCTTTCTTCCTCAACCACTCGCTCCACTATTTCCTGGCTTGGGATGGTCTACTTTCTTCTCACATCTCAATTAAAGATATTTGCAGGTCTGAACTCTTTGACAAAGCCTTCTGTGATGATCCTTGCAAGTGCAAAGCAACATTTCCATCTTGTGAACTTTACATATAACACTTTGCTTTCACATTTTTTTCACTTACTCTTTTTATTCCTGTTTGAGTAAATGTCCTATCATTGCGCCATATATATTGTCCTACCATCGATCCCAGGCCTCCAGGACTCAGTAGACGTGTGTTGGGCATAGTTCATTTTACACAGAAATGATAACAAATGATTCTTGAGTTAGTGTTACTTGTTCATATTGTTGTTTCTATGCAACAAATACTGATGTACTTTCAATGGACTGAGATGATCATTATTTTTTTCTTAAACTCCAACTTGTAGAGAACCCAAATGCGAAACATTTTCAAGTGACAGTATTGTTAGTATTTATAAATAAAATGAATGACTGTCTAATAGCACTGCCATGCTTTAGCACAAGAACAGAAAGATGAAAGCCAAAAATGGCCCTCTCCATGGAACAGTAAGGGGTACAGAGATGAAGAACAACTTTGGTTCAAAAGGTATTTTAAGAATTTGTGTTAGGTGCCAATTACAGTTCAATATAGCTGGAAAAAATCTAAAATAATGTAAGCAAATATTAAAAAGAGTTCATGTAGATTTCTTTAGTCTGATCTATAACTGACTCCTGCCATCATGAAGAATTGAAACTTGATTTAAAAAAAAAATATACAAAACATTCCTGATGGTTACATTATCTTTTACTGAAAATGAGAAAAATGTTTTACCACATACCACCAGGTTTCCAATGACCATGACCATCATGAAGACAGTGAGGCACATGGTTTGACCGGCGACCTCCATGCAGTCCCACATGGTCTCTATCCACTCTCCACACAGCACCCGGAACACAATCAGGAAGGAGTGGAAGAAGTCATGCATGTGCCAGCGGGGGAGCTCACAATCATTGGAAATCTTGCAGACACATTCTTTGTAGCTCTTACCAAAGAGCTGCATGCCGACCACGGCAAAAATGAAGACGATGATGGCCAACACCAAGGTGAGGTTACCCAGAGCCCCTACAGAATTGCCGATGATTTTAATTAGCATATTCAGGGTGGGCCAGGATTTTGCCAACTTGAAAACTCTAAGCTGAAAACAGAAACAAGGTCATTACTGCTCTGCATTTGGAAGAATTTGTATATTTGTTTACAGGTAAAGTCTACAATGTCTCAGTTTTAGGTGATGGGTTATTTCTGTGCCAAACTGTTGTCTATATTTTTCATTCTGAAATAGTATATATTATAAATAAAATAAGAATACAGTTTTTTTTAATTGGCATTTAAATTCCAGAATCTTACATAAGCATTTATACTATTCTTTTTGTTTTTCTGTAAGGAACTGAAATACCTAAAATTAATGGTGATTAAATTCACAGAAACTGCTTCAGAGAAGTAGAGGCTCTAGTAGAGTCTCTCATTATTTAAAAGCCCGAAGTGGATATATTTTTCAGTGTACCTGAAATATGCTGAAATGCACAAGTGTAAACAATATTAACACTTCAATTAGGGAAGATACAAAGGAAAAACCAACTAATTTCTTTAAATCTTAGACTGCTTTGACCTTTAGCATGTTGTAATATTAGGCTGTATTTTAAAGGAGATTTATTATATTCAAATAAGAAATACTTGAACTTGAATAAAAAGCTGTATTTTGTCAACCTTTATGTCTTCAGTGATTTAGTTAATCAACTCATTATAGTGCGTAAATGGCTTGCCACCTCTATGCCTGATAGATTGGTTGTATTAGCTCATAAAAACCTCTAGAGTACGATTTACCCTTAAACAGTATCAGCATTTTATTTCTGATGCTTCTGTAAATATCAAGCTAAGAGTAGTGCATTATTTAATGGCAACTAAGTGACCCAAAGGAGCAAAGATAAGAACCAAAATTTTTAATTTATTCCCAGAGAACAATTAATGCAAAAGAGCCTGATATACTAAGAAAGACATTAGTGATATTATGCTTTGTACTTTCCTAGACTCCATCACATTATCATAAAGACTTACTAAGCTTTTTAAAAGTAGTTGCCCATATTTACTTGTTATATAATCACTGCTAATTTTTTTTTTTCTTTTATTCTTCTAACTTCAAATGAGATCCACAGCTAAAGACTAGGAAAGGAAATCACAGCTCTAAGGATCTTAACAAATATTTGAAAGTAGTAAGGAAATTTCTAAACAGACTTGATCATAAATTCTTGAAATTAATCACCCTTAAGGTAGGTTGCCTATAGGAATCTATCTTTACTACCTATATACAATGACTGTTGTTTGAAAATAAATCACAGAAAGCTGGAGCCAATTCAAATAAACAGCACAATAAAAAATATCAAATTTTAAATGGAAATGGGTCCAGTGATATTTTTTTGTCTCTTAATTTAAAAAGATCCCTAAACTCATTAAATATAAAGAACAAATGAAGGATCCTTTCCTTAAAATTAAAATATTATACAGGCAACTTTCTTAGTGGATTTGGCAACTTCCTGACCTGGCTGAAGGCACAGATGATAGGAGCTCTGTCCTCTTTTCTGTGCCTCTACCCAGTCCTGAGTCTTGAATTCTATGGGGGCAAATTGGGCAACTTCATAATCTCTTAGCCTCTGGTAGAGAGAAGAGCCCATCCAAAGCCCCAGTCAAGTCCCTTATTATGGTTAAGCAAACCCCATATAGCTGAGAGGTATGTATTGTATTGTTTAATTTGATTTGGGATTATGTATGACCTCCATTTTCTCTCTTCCCATTAGCCTTGACATTCAATTACTAAGGAGAGAATTATTGGCTGTTCATTTGAATTAAACTTAATCTGTGCATTAAAACTGTAATGAAGAAGAAATTACCATCTGCTTTGTTAGAAACATATTCAAACAAAATTAAAGCTATGGGAAATCTTGAAATTTTTACAAGAAAAGAGTGACTACTAATTACATTATTTATAAAAATATATGGCTACTCTCAGTTAATTTACCAGTCGAAATGATCGGAGAACTGACAGTCCTTCCACATTTGCCAAACCAAGTTCCATTAAACTAAGGCTCACAATTAAACCATCAAAAATATTCCAGCCTTCTTGAAAGTAATAATATGGATCCATGGCAATTATCTTGAGAAACATTTCTGCTGTGAAGATCCCAGTGAAGACCTAAGTGAGAAATGTTTATTACATGAGTGAAGACTCTTGAAAGCATAAATAACTATTAAGCAATTTAATTTATTCCCCAAAAATCACAATTTAGTTTTGAGTTTTAAAAATTGGTTTAGACCCAGGAAATTAGTATCCTCAGATGGTTTGTATTCAAGCTAATATTTAATTGTTTACTATAGTTAAGGTTTATCAAGTGATAAAGAATATAAGAATTAAGACAATAAAACTAATATTCTTACTTTTATATTCTTAAGTGAAAGGTTCAGGTAACTCATTGCGGTCAACATCCTGACTTTGCCTCTGATCACCCTAGGTTTCCAAAAACTCACCAAATGATTACCTATTAGGGCCTTCTAGCCCTAGAACCAGATTGACTGGCTTAGAAATGGTTCTGTAACTCCAACCAGGCTGATGGTATTCAATACTTGGGCTTGTGTTAGAAATACTAGTTAGGAGGCATACTCTTTCTGCTTAATGAGCTGTGTCAGTAGGATAGAAGTTGGTCGAACATTGCCATCAATAGAATATCCAGCCAGAGATGAAACATACATACTGGGAAAAAGCTCGCAAGAAGCTAACTCCCAATGACATTGATTGAGAACTTGAATCTAGATAGATTAAAACCTGGAGCTATGCCCAAATGGACTTTAGTTACTTGAAGTAATGAATTATTTTTTAAAATTTATTTTGCTTATTTTTGCTTAAGCCCATTTGAGCTGTTTCCTAATACTCATCTCCATAAAGCTTATTTTATCCCTTGCTCACTTTTTTATAGATAATGTTGAGGTGATTCCTACATATGTGAAAAAATTTGGACTAGGTAACATTATTGCCCTTTCCTAAAGTTCTGTGATTTTTGGGCACAGCTTAAAACAGTCTCTGAAATATCTTTTAGAGTCTCTGATACAGTATTTAGAGCTTTCATTGCTCTTGTCAATTTCTCATGGGTATCGATTCCCTCACTGTAAAATGCAGACATTCATAGTATCTACCTGAGGACTGACTTTGTGGGTACCTACAAAGAGGGATTTAATGTAAACCATTTAGCACAATGTCTGGTACAAAATAAGTGGTCAGCATATATATTGTAACTTTATCAGTTAAGACCTATCTGGTTATAATAGAACAATAATGGTTAATTCAGAGTCTAAAAATATTGTGTATCATCCTTCAGAATATATCATTTACTATGTATACAGAACCTGTCTATATGTTCATTTATCAAGGTGGGAGGTTCATGAGAACTTAATAAACCTCTTACATTGATATCAATATATTTTTGTCACCTGAATTTATTCATTTTGACTTTCATTTCTATCACTCTACCAAGTAGCCACGAATGTTAGTACAGAATTTTAAGTAAAAAAATATGCAAAACTTAATAATTTATAAATCCCTAAATGTATAGGACAAATTCAAACAGAAATAATAACTTCTATATGATTTTTCTTCCCTTAAAAATCTATCTTCAGGTATGAACAGATATTTCAAAATTATCTGACTTAATTTGTTTGACCAGTGTAAACATGTCTGAAAGAGTCTCTTCTAAATACCTGAGGAGCACAACAGCATTTTACCATAGATCTGTCCCCTGTAATTCATAATGATCTTTTTAATGAATGGGCAATTTATATTTAATTCTAAGTCAAACTATAAATAAAATCTTTGACTCTTTTCTACTGCTTAACTGAAGCAGTATAATTTGTTATAAAAGAGTAATGCTGAACTTTTGCTGCCCAAGTAAATATGGCCAATTAATTCATATTTAATTTGAGAGTGATGTGTGAAATTCATTAAAGTAACCATATATCCTTTCAATGAGCAGAGTAACGCTCAGTGAGCCTTACCAGGTTCCCAACTGACAGCACACTGCTAAACTGCTCCGTCATGGGATAATGCTCCATGGCCATGAAGAGGGTATTTAGGACAATGCAGATGGTGATGGCCAGGTCAACAAAAGGGTCCATCACAACAAGGTTGACAACATGTTTCACCTTTAACCATGGCTTACAGCAGTCCCAAATCAAACACATGTTAGCAAATTTATACCAGCACGGTGGGCATTTCTGTCTGGATTCTTCAAGTTCTGGAAGAAAACAGAATACTTATGAAAACTGCTTCCTCCCTTCTAAGAAGCCTTTGGTTTAAATTGAAAGTGACTCAAAAAATTCTGAAGTTGTTAAAAGGCATTATAGGTTAATTTGATGGTTGAGCAGGAAAGCACTGATAGACTAGCTGTCATAAAAAATGTGGAAGGGCTAGTAAACTTTACAAATGTATCTTAGTTAAACGTGGTTTCCAAGAGTCTATCTATAACATTAAACTATCTGATAATTATCTTCAAGGCTATCAAAAATTAATGGGTAAGACTTGTGTCGAGTATACTTAAATGTCATCTATGTTCCAGATAGAGCACTTATATTATGAAAGACTATCTCTCAGGAGAAGTCTTTAAAAGCTTTATTAGTCATGATGAATTTCAGTTTCCTAGATTAGATATGTTTTTGGGGTATTTTAATGAAAGAGTTCTGTCAGTATCACCAATCTTGAAAGTTTCTGGTTAAACCTAATTAGATATAGTATTACATATTAAACTCAGCAAAACTCTTTTTTTCTGCCACATTTCTTGATTTAAATAGACGACACAAAAGAAGAGGAAATATCCAATCTAAGAAAGTGAGATCCTCACTGTTTCACAAAATGTGACTTATGCATTACTGGTAAAATGCAAGAGGATTTTAGATGGAACATAGGTATAATTAATAAATTTTCATGAAATGCATTTATTTTAATGTGTTAAAATAACAATCACACCAAACCTATGATAAAAGATTTCATATAAAGACATTTACTTAAGAAAAAAATATAATGATTTCAAGAAGAATTTCAACTAAATAATAGGAGAGAAAAGACAGAAATGCACAGATCTTTAAAGTGATGCTCAAAATACTGAAAAAGTAAATATTGGCAAAGAATTTGGGAGAATTAGAAAGTGGGAAATTATATACTATTTTTCTTTGGTATATTTATCTCAATCAATTATTGAGTGAGAAAAGGATACAGTTGTTGTTTTCTGCCAGTATCACACTCTATTAGTTGCTCAGCCAAATATGAGACCTGATTAGCACTAAAGCTCATGAGACTGATGAGCACTAAAATTGAGGAAAAAACTTTTTGTTCATCAATAGCATAACTGACTCTGGTGGGTCAATTTAGTATTACTACTGTGGCAACTGGAATATCTCTCCAAATCTGGGACAGTTTACTAGAAATTAAACTTTTTCAGGGAATTCATACAACGGACAAACACTACCATAGGTAGTGATTTTTGCTTCGCTGATAGACATTTACTACTAATTTTATAAAGTTTGTTACTTCACTAAAGTAAATTAATTTCCTGATTATTTTTCACAGAATTCCATTTAGAAGCAGATGCTTCAGTTGTGTCTTTAGATACTGAAATACTTTAAGTACCCAGTTTATTTCCATTTCTCTTAATATGTAATTTTGTAAACAATAAGGAATAGTTAAGTTGTAAATCAGAAGAAAAACATATAGTTTTTATGTGCTGTTTTGTAGATGCTTTTAAGACTCCCAAATAAACTCATGTTTATACTGAAGATTAAAGGACAATATCATTTACAGTAAATAACTAAAGAGAACTGAAAAAAAAATCTCTTTGCCTGTGTACAGTCAGCATAAGTATTTTTTTAAATGCTACTTGCAATTTAGTAGATAAAGAGAAGCAAAAGGAAACTGTGTGGCAAAAAGTAAGAGACAAGTTCAAAAGGGAAAACAGCCAATGTTGCTCATCTTGACACCAGGAAAAAGTGAAGCCGAGTTGTTAAGTTCTAAAATAAAATCATTCAATTATTCATGCCAAAAGGAAAAAAGAATTATCACACTTTGAAACAAAACAAAGCACTCAGGAGAGAACTACAGCCACATCTCCATTATTCCTGGGTGGGTTATCCACACTGAGACGCATTTACAACTCAGTTCAGATCTTTGCTGGCTTCCCTCAATTCCCCAGTGCTTCCACCTCAGCTCCCACCGTTCTTCCCAAAGATGTGACCAGGAAATATTTCCATGTGGTTTTTGCATTTTAAAAACTTGAAAAGGAAACAATTCATTTCTGTGTATCTCCTACAGTGTCATTAAGTAGGAGGCTATTCATTACCCTGGACAATGGAGACCCAGCTGTAGTTCAAAAGAGGGAAAACAAAAGTTGTCAGCGTGGGTCAACAAGCCTGGCTGAAAAAAGCAAAGGTAAACTAAAACACAGTTAGACTCAGAAGGAAGGATCCCCAGATAAACAGATTATGTCAACCTAAGACACTTTTCCACCATTATCAGGAACCAAAAAGGACTATATTAAAGACAGTTCTAGTTGCCTGTGTGCACTATGTAACTAACAACCAGCCTTGATTAATGCCAGATTCAAAGTGTTTAAATATAACTGAATAAAGAAAAGTATGCTTTGCATTCTACACAACCAGTGAAAAATAGAATGAAAACTCAGCCATTGTTCCTCGCAAAAGTATCAAGTTAAAAGCTCTGAAGATATTAAAGTCAAACACTCAGTCTCCTGCTTCCTAAGTTACTCTTATCTCTAGGACATCATTTCACTCTAAGAAATTCCATGAGACACATATTCATGGAGGGCGATATGGGAATGTGTGCACTCATTTTTAACTCCATATCTTAGTGGATAAGTTCAATTTTGTGGTGGTGGCTTGATGTTTTTAAGTAACTTCTTAGGTTAATTCAAACTTAATGCCATCAGTAGTGCAAATTAGTGTTAATTAAGACTTACCCTGTCTCCTTCTCTACTTCTTGCTTTAGGGAGCAGACATGCTGCTGACATCGGTAGCAGAACCACTGGCAGCTTCCTCTCAGTGGTTTTGCTATGGCAAGGAGCAGAAGACCAGAGAATCTTCAAAAGATTTACCTGGAGGGACAGGGAGGAGCAAGCTACTGGCAGCTGGGGGGGAAGAGGGAGTGCAAGCTAACGCAGGCGAGGTTGGGGAAGAACGTACTGAGTTTAATATCCCATAGAAATCAGTGAAAAGATTTCTGATATTGCATTAGGACATTACGAATGTTGGGACTGTAGCAACTGACATGGCTGTGATATATATGGCCATCTACATGGTGAGATTTTCCTGGCTGTGACTCTCAGGTTTTGGGTATTATTAAATATCACGGGATCTTTGCATTTAGACTGGAAAATAATTGTTCCAAGAATCTATCGAGTATTACGAGAAACTACAACTAACAGAGAAGCATGAACACATGCTTGTGTTCTTTCTCATTCTCCATCTTTCTTCTTCCTTCCACACATCTACACACACACACACACACACACACACACACACACACACTTGGGAGGGGAAGGAAAGGGAGGGTTATAAAGGTGAAAGGGAGAGAAGGGCAAAGGAGAGCAAGGGAGGATGATAGAATACATTTTATATGAAAGTGTTTTCCAAGGTGAAGTTGATAGTTGATGTTTGAATTCATTAACAAGTACAGAAAGGCATAAACATGTGAATTAACAAAACAATGATAAAGCAACCAATAATACTGGTTATTGACTGCCTTCTACATTCCAGGAACATAGGTGTTTTATGGATGAGGTCTTATTTAGTCTTTACAACAATGTTATTCTAAACATCATTATCAATACTAACTGATGAAGAAACAGCTACAGAGCCACAAATAGATACAGAGTCAATAACTGATCACAAATCAAGCTGTCCCCAAATTCTTTATTTTGGAATTATAACATCCAGACCTCTTAACAATGTATTAACTACTCATGTATAATCAGCGACTAAAGAGAAAGTTGAGATATTATTAAACTCTGATCAGAGAGAGAGGCAAAAGTAGTTTTCAAGATTTTGAAAACTTTGCTTCAAAGTGGTTAATATTAAACCCTAATTTCCACTTTTTTTATTTATACTTCTGGTTAAATCAAAGGAGTTTATAGCTTAAGTCTCAAGCAGTTAATACAATTCAACTGTGTTAGCATCACTATAAAAATAAACATTTATCATTACATTCCTTTTGATGTCATGCACATGACAAACTTCAACAGTTTAAGAACTTAATCTACCAAGGTTATATTCCAGGTATACCTTGAGTTTGCAGTAGCTTTTTGGAGGCTAAATGTAAAAATCTATATGAGACAACAGAATTGAGGTATTGCATGTGGATTTTACTTTTATTTAGTAAAAGAAATAATAATATCGTGGTATCAATTCAGGGAGAATTTAACTCTTAGAATTTATGAAAGTTTTTTTATCACCATTACCAAGGCACCACCAAGTAACTGTGCTGTAAGACTTCTGACATACCTTCCATGGTGTTGGTCAAAATACTAGCCATACTCATTGCTCTTTGCCTTGCTGAAGGATCTTCCAAAAGATCCATGGAAACGTGATAAGAACTGGACCGTCTCTTTCTTATTTCTGTTTCAGTAGTTGTGCCCTAAAAATAAAATTTCATATGAAATAACTAGTATTTTTAAAGGCCAAAGTGTTCCCGCAATAGGTGTTATTTAGCCAAATATTCACTATGCTTTGTCAGATATAAACAGCTCACTAAGACATTGCTAGAATCATCATTCTTGGGAAGGGTTTGAAAGCCCATCATATTCTCAGCATTCAGGGATGCCTGGGTTTGTGATCAAGATGGACTTTTCTAATCCATCCATCTTGGAGCTTTGGGCTGGAGGCATCTTGCTTCTTTTGGGATAGATAACCTTCTAGCATTTCAGTCAATCCTATCTAGAACTTCAAACTGAAGCATATTACTCCTTGATTTACTCACATATTATTAGATCTTTATATATATTCATGTGGTTCAATGAATGAAAAGAACTTTACAGGTTTCCCTAATATGCATCAGCAGTAGCACTCCTAAAGTGTGAATTCCATGTTAAAATGTTTCTGTTCATTATAGACAGGTACAGATACAGGACTGCACATATGATTTTGTATAGAGCAGATGGGACTAGATGACCTTTAAGCAACCTCATTTTTTTACCTTCACACTTTGCCTTTCCCTGATGAGGCTAAATATTTTCAACTCTAAGAGACAACTTTTTGATTTAAAAAGCTTTATTTCAGAGAGGGGTTATTTTTTTCTAATGAATTTTACTTTTCTTTCATAGTAAAATTAATTTTAGGTTGACCTAAATGAATGTTCATCCTCATTAATGACAATCCTATTAATGGAGTGGAAATTCTGCTTTTGACTATGTATGTATTAGAGGTAACAAGGTTAATAAAATAATGTTTATTACTGATAGCACAATAAAGTAGGTGAACAGGACTCATATTGCTTATATAAATAAGGAAAATCCTCAGAGGAATAAAAGTGACTTCTTCTTTATTATTAGCACTCAGACTTGCATTAGAAATGCTTGAGTCTTGCCCCTTTTTTCTCCTGTGATCGCTAACTTCATTGCTTGAACTCTTGAAGTGGAAATAAATTTCTGCCCATATTGAAATTCTGGTGAGTTTATTTTGGAATAGAAAAGAATCAATTCATCATATCATTGCTAAAAATCAAAGATCCCCCATTATGATGTCTTGCCTTAAATTAGAGTTTCAATGCCAAGGATGGGTTCTCTTCTAAGTGTAAGATAAAGTTATAAAATTTAGTTTAATTATTATTTAGTTAATTATTAAGAATGTAACATCCTATTAATGTTGCATCAGAACTGAAAATATTTTGCCTCATCAGAGAAAGTCAAAGTTTGGAGGAAAAAAAATGGGGTCACTTAAAGGCTATCTTGTCCCTTCTGCTCTGTACAAAATCATATATGTTATCCGATATTTGTCTAATTTTTAGTGCTCGATTTCAAACTCTCTAATGATATTACCAAGGAAATTCTTTCTTAAATTGCTTCAGTTGAATTAATGTGAAAGTGCAGGATATTGTGTGCTCTGGAAGGTAGCATTTGCCAGCTGCTTATTTTCTGTTCTTTCTCTCTGCAGTCTTGCAAAGCCACATCTGTGGTCTGCCTCTGCGTCTCCCGCCACACCACAGTGCAGGGCCCTGCCTCACAGCACTCGACTGCAATGCTGAAGGGTGGACACCAAGCAGCAGGGAACGGATACTAAACTAGGCTTTGTTTCAACTGCCCAAATTTGCCTTCAGAGATTTATTCCCCGCTCTGTGATAGGACAGGAGTGATAATTACTGATAAGCGCTAAATATTTTCTGATGGACTGAAATTCTCTTGCATTTATATAAAGAAGTTGTAGGTTTATTTTCGTGTTCTCAATTAACATTTATCAAGATCAGAGATACACATACTTCAATATGTGTGAGGATCATGTGGGATGCTTGTCAAGAAAGAAGAAATCACAGATTCCTGGCCTCTTGGTCTTGGTCTGAGTAAATCGGAGTGGGCCCAGAAATCTTCATTTCTTTCTTTAAACCACTTTTGTGAAGTATTATCAACATGTAAAAAGCTATGTATACTTCACACTCACAACTTGATGAGTTTAAGAATAAGTGTAAAAAAAAAAAAAGAATAAGTATATACCTGTGAATCATCACCACTATCAGTTCATAAACATTTCCATCACCTTCTAGTTTCCTTCCACTGCCTTATCATTGTTGCTGTTGCTATTTGGGTTGAGAACACAGCATAAGACCTATCTTCTTAGCAATTTTAAGTTACAATTCAGTATTCTTAGCTCTAGGCACTATGCCATACAATAGGTCTCCAGAACATTTATCTTGCATAACTGAAACGCTGCACCCTTTGGTTATCAAACTCAGAGAAGCAGAGGAGAATGGTGGCTGCCAGGGGTGGAGGGAGGGGGAAATGAAGAATCTCCATTCTAAGAAGTATCCCAGGGAATTCTGTGGCAAGTAGTCTGATGATGAAATATATCTTGAGAAACACTGGGTAAAAATGAAAGGGTTTGTTTCCTTAACCATCTCTTCTTTTCCATTTAAGAAAATTTAAAGAAAATTAGTGGGAGGTAATATTGCAATATGGATAGAATGTAGAGTCAGTAGCCAGCATATATAGGGTCAAATCCTAGCTCCATCATGCACAGGCCTCAGTTTCCTCTCAGTAAAATGGAGATAATATTAATAACTATGATAAAGTATTGTTGTGAGGATTAAATGAATTAATGCAATAAAGTGTTCTGGACACTGTCTGGTACATAGTTAGGCATGATTATTTTTTAAGAGAAGTTGGCATTCCTTTTGCATTTTTCCAGGTTCTTTCACAATAAAGTTCTATTTTTATTCATGATTTGATCTGATTTTAGGATACTTGAATATGTTTCTGGTAGAAGTGCTGGGGAGAGGCCAGGCAAAAAAAGTAAGGATGATCAATGGCTGTTTCTATAATTCAAAGTAAGAAGTTCTGTTAGGTGACTGAAAGCTGACTCCATGTGATTTTAATGTGACTGACAGAGCTCATCCAACTATAATGAGGAAAATTTTGCAAAAAAAAAAAAAAATCATACAAAGAAGATTTTAATATGATTTGGTAAACTATAAAGTATAACCAAATTGCTAGAATTTTTTATACTGGCAAATGAAATCTTATTTAATACCAAAGTTAAAAAGCATTTATGTTTTACAAAGGAAATGTCAATAATATATCCCAGTGTCTGGTATTTAGCTGAAACTAAATTCCACTAAGTTCTGTATGCATGATTTATGGCCATTATGTTTATTTAAAAAACTCAGGACAGTAATATAAAAATTGAAATCTGCTCTAAGTTATAACACATTACTTTACCAGGTACTTCGAGTGGCTTCTTTACCATATACATGTACGATGGTCATTTGGGTGCTAAAATGTTATAGCACCTTGACCTGCCAAGAGGAAGAACGTTGTGTTGAAGAATTTAGATGCATTTAGTAATACTATCTACTTCAAGTGCAAGTATCAAGTACTCCTTTTAAAGGATTAGAAATAACAAGATGCTTAAGATGGGTATTTATATCATTTCTTGCATTTATTTTGCTTATATTAATTAAAAATAATGCATGATAAATTGTTGCTGTATTTTTGGCAAGTTTGATACGGTGGTAATAATGATGGAGATCTTCTCATTATAGTCTGTGAGATCCAACCTATGTTTTTAATTCATTTGTAGAAAAGCCTGAAAGGAACAATTTGACAAAATAAGTTCATAACTTGACTGAACTGACCCTTGGCCTTTGAAGAGTAGGCTCACTAAAACTCACACAGGTGGGACTAGAAAACCAGTCCCGCCTGCACCAGCCACACCTCCCTCCCCACGAGCTGCAGGTTTCCCTGGTCTCACCTCTGGTAGGAGCTGACCAGCAGGGGACGTGAGGGCAGAGGGGCCCCCGACCAGGGAGACCACGCCGTTGCAGTCCACGGCACTGTGCATCTTCCCGTTCACGGGCAGGATGGGGAGCGCCCTGGAGGCACGGCTGGCCTGGCTGACGTTGCTGTGGCGCCGCTCCCCGTGTCTGTGCGGCACAAACAGAGAGTCTCTTCTGCTGTCGTTGTCCTCAAAGGTGCTGTGCTCATCGTCCGCAAAGTCATTCTCAGAGCCAATATCCTTGGCTCGGCCTCGGAAGCTGAAAAGGCTCGCCCGACTGTTGCGTCTTGGAGAGAACAGGGAGCCACGGACGCTCAGTAAAGACTATCAACCGCAAGGAAAGAAACAAAAAACCAGATGAACAGAATTAAGTGTTCTGGAAAGTATGAGCCAGGACTCATCGCTTCATAGCTGCTGACTTACCTAGGATAAGGCATTGGATGGGTGTGATCAAGGGCTTATATGGTAACTGCTGGTGGCATTCTGGAACTTTCTCCTGGGTTCAGCTCTTTTATTTTGCTTTCCCTGTTTCTTCCTTCCTTCATTTTCATCTTCTGAGCTCTGATTTTCTGTCATTTTCTTCTATGTTACCCATGACTTCCGAGAGTCAGAAGTACCCCTGAAGACTGTTCTGTTTCATTTCTGGCACTCAGAACTGAAATCTTTACTAAACTCTTCTCTAGAAACTATTCTTATTTAACAATCCAATGGAGAACAATTAAGTACACAACTATATTTAGTTCCTTTGAAGTCAAAACCACACCAGTTAAGAGTGCACTAGTGACCACATGACCACACCACAGAGAAAAATGAAATCAATCTTGCTAGTAGGTCTATTTAATTATAGTAACAAGGAGCAATTTCTCCCCTTCCCCTTGCGTATTTTATAACAGTCCTCATGAATAATTTAAACAAATCAAACTGAAAGACTGTATGATTCATTCCGTGATTTTCACTCTTTTGTCTGTCTCAAGAAATCTGAAGAGCACCACATTTACAAAAACCTGGTTTTCACTAAGTGTCTGGTCACAATCATTTAACAGTCTTCTAGATGGCTACAATGTCACTGGCATCATTCAGTTTACTTTGATTCTCAAGCACAGTAGCTTGAGCACAATGAATCATTTGCTGTTTACCACTAGTCCACTTTTACAACTTCACTCTAGGGAGCACTTGTTTCTGCTTCTCCAATATCCATTTGTCCTTTGTTGACAGTACCCTGATTATCTCCAAGAAATGCTCTCTGGCAAGACCATGATCCAGGTCTAGCCAATGAATGTATTCCATGCCTCTGGCCATGGAGACCGGTTTAAAAATGGGTAGGGGACTCTGCATGGTCCACTGACAGTCACCGATTTCTTTTCCAATTGAAAGGGGTACATTTTTTATTGAGGTTGCTAAAACCACTGCCTATAAGTTCAGAGTCATGGTGGACATCTTATCACCATGTTGGAGGAATCTGTAGACGTGGAGAGATACTTCGCCCTGGTAACATGTTTTGAGCCCTTGAGTCCAGCTGTGCCTAAAGCTACTCATCGCTATTATTTACATGATCTAATTCTCTTTTTTTCTTAAGCTGGCTTAAGTTGGATTTTTATGATTATTAATAGAATACCAACTCATCATTTAAACATTACTAGTTTCATCTTTTTATCTCCAAAGGATTTAAAGCTAACTAAGATTATTATTTTGCACCTATATATATTTTACATTTCCTGACTACTAAGTGTTCATTTAATTTAATTTTTTTCATTTATTTTTATTAGTTGGAGGCTAATTACTTTACAATATTGTAGTGGTTTTTGTCATACATTGACATGAATCAGCCATGGATTTACATGTATTCCCCATCCCGGTCCCCCCTCCCACCTCCCTCTCCACCCGATTCCTCTGGGTCTTCCCAGTGCACCAGGCCCGAGCACTTGTCTCATGCATCCAGCCTTTATTTTCAGCTAAAGAATGATTTTCTCAGTGACACCTATGAACATCTATAAAATGTCTGTCATCTTTAAATACTATCTTATATTATGTTATCTTAGTCATTATTTTCAGAAAGAAACACATCTAAGAATACTGATCTACTTTCCCAGAAGAACTTATTTCTTCTTTTCCTATATGCATGTTTTTTCATGCTATTATCAACTTCATTAGTAAGATAATTCATTTCCTTTATTATTTCCACATGAATATTTTTAAAACCTCTCCTACACTATCCAGTTTCTTTCATGTCTCCTTTCTCTATTCACAAGGGACTTTGAATTAGATATAAGGACATAATATCTACAGAATTTGTGACCTACTGGTTATCACTACCTCAGAAAGAAAGCCAGACAATAAATGCTTGACAATAGGAAATAAAGTAGAAATTATGTATATGTACCATCTTAGTAACAGTTTATGTTTTTATACTACAAGTTCTGCCCTCAGTTAGTGCCAGTAGATGGTTTGGAGAGAAATGTTATAAAATTAGACACACTGTTTCTCAAAGTTCAAAGGTGAATTATGCCACACAAGAGCATAGTTTATATGTGGCAGCTATATGGAAAATGATTGTTCTCCATGTGTTAGCCTCAACTTCCACTGCTTATATTAATTACATAAATCTATAGCAATCAAATGTCCTGTTACAAATAGAGGATGGATGGACAGTAAGAAAAAAATCTGCCATAACAAGTGGATCTTTGGTTTATCATAAATACAGAGGGAAATAATAACTTTAGTAGGCCAAAAGTATCTTATAAATGCTTTAAAAATAAAATATCCAGATTGTCTTGAGCTGTGGTTAGAAACTGCACTCTTGACTTCCTTCTTTCCACTATCCCACAGTAACAAGTCTTAAGAAGTCTAAAAAGTATTTCATACAATCCACCTACTCTGAGGAAATTATAATCCAGTGGTAAAAGTATATTTTATATTTTTTTAATATGAAAATAGCAATGGTTACCAATATAATTGCCTATCATGTCCCTATAAAACAATAGTTTTAAATACATTTGGGCCTTGTGCCCTGCAAAACCTAGCAAAAGCTATGGACCCTTCACCACTGTAGCCAGGCTCACTATTTTCAGTATTACTTACAGGGTCTTGCAAAGTGAAATTAGTATGACTTCAGCATCCCTCCCTTCTTTTCCCCTCCTTTTCTCTCTCTCTCTTTGTATCTTCATTGCCCTCTCCAGCTTCTTAATTAGTTGCTTGATTACTTCTTTTTCAGATAAAAATCTGAAATCTATTTTTATAGAAATATCACTTCAGAAACGGATATCCATTTGAGCCAGATATTACATGTTGTATAAGTCAGCCATCACCTGATACCCAGCTAGTTAAGAAGCAGAAGTTTTAAGAAGATGGTATGGGGAAAATGTTATGTCTTTGGACAACATGTACAGAAAAAGGTGGGTAGAACCTAACATTTTCAGACTTTACTATTCTGCCTAGAATTAGTTCTGTTGGACTCGAGATAAAGCATACTGGGGTGACTCTCCGTGGTATCTGGTATCTGGTTGCAGTTTCAAATTTTGGTAGTTTTTCCCCAGCTAACTTATTTCCCTTCTTTTCTCCCTCTCTTCTTTCCCTCTTACCTTCCTTCAAAACAAACAATACTCTAAAAGGGAGATTTGATTTTTTTTACATTCACATTTATTGAGATTCAAGTCTCCACTAATGAAGGCATAATGATTATGACAACAACACGAACAAGGGTAGATTCTACTTCAAATTTGAATTCAACTGCACTAATCTTTTCATTCAGCATATCTCATAATGTTACCTAGACTTAGAGTGAATAAGGCTGACCTATAAAAATTATATACATATTAAACATAAGGTTATATGAGACTGTGGATACAAAGAACATACATAATCCTAAATATACATATCTTTTAAATGAAATCAAATTGTAAATTTTCTCATCAGCTTCTTTAGACTTTTTAAAAAATATTCTTTCTAGTCAGCCTAATATAGCAGAAAGTTCAAGAGCTTCAGTGTCAGGCCAACTGTGAATGCCACTTCAACCTTTAATAACTATATGACACTGGGCAATTAGTTAACTTCACTGAGCCCAAAATGTAATGAAAACAGTCATATTCAGGGTTTTTAACATTAATTATGGTAGAAGAAGAAGAATGCCAAACAGAAAACAGGCGCTCAACAAAGAATACCACCCGTCCCCTTGTCTTCACATCTGCAGATTGGGGATGAGGACGACAGTACCCGCTAGGGCTGCCCTGAGTGGCCTCAATAAGTTTATACTGTAAGAAGCAATGCACCAGGTAAGTGTTAGCCATCATCATTGCTGTGGGTGTTCAAATTGTTACTGTTAATTGTATGGATATGAAGTTTTTCAGTACCGAAAATCTGTAATTCTTTTGGTAATTTTAAAAGCAATTAATGATCCTAAATTTCAAAGTTACAGCAGCTAGTGTTGGTAGATAAGCCAGAAGCATCTAGATAACATTTTCTGCACTATATAAGTCAACATATTATTTACATTCAAGTCTCCTTAAACATGAGACACAGGTAATCAAGTGCAATTAGACACAATTGTTTATTTAGTATCATAGATCTTCCTCAATGCACATCTACCTAAAATCTTTGATGACACTTTTAGAAAAATGATGCTCCGGTTTCCCTTGAAACAAGAACAAGGAATACATTCCTCATATGAAGTTGGCAGGTGGATGGGAACAACTGCAAAGATAGTCTGAGAGAATCCACTCTTCAGTTCTAGGAAGCTGCCACTCAGAAAACCGACAGTTCACTGGGTCCAGGCACCACAGCTATGAAGGGACGGGAACCATCTACTGATTACTCGTCAGGTGGAAAATTGCCCTGAGACGCTTACCACTCTTTAGGGAAATCTCAAAATCACAAGCCTTCCCAAGTGCAGTGGGATCTATGCTCTAAAAATGCTTTCCTGGAATTCCAAAATGTTGTAAAACACAGATTCCTTGAGGTGATAACCAAAACATTCATCAATCATTACCATTCTGAAAGTATGGTGTCAGCAAGGAGGAAGGCAGTTTTATCTCTAACCAAATTCTGGCATATTTTAAATACTTGTGTTTGCTATAACAAATGCAATTTATATAATATAATACGTTTACCTGATGTGGAGAGGAAAACCTCTTTTCATATGTCAGCCTGCTTCCTTCTAAGGAAAACCGGAAACCTTTTCTTCTGATGCTGTCTTCAGATTCGGATTTGTGGACCCCATCTTCCTTTTCTTCTTCTCCAGACTGTTCTTTCTGTTTCTTTTTCTTCCTTCTGTTTTTCAGCTCTTTTTCACTCTTGGAGCTCAACTTTGATGCTACTGAAGAACTCTCTGAGAAAACCCCGATCCCACCAGCACCACTGAAGTCTCTTGATTCAGCCGAAGCTGCTGCAGCTGCGGCCTAGAAGGGTGCAAGGGAGACGGCAGTTGCACATAAACTTTGAAAAACTCTATCCATGTTACTGCTTCACTTATCTTTGGTCTCATGAATATGTGACTTTTAAAAATGATTCTCCATCCTAGTATGTATTTTGGAAAACAGCTCATATATTGTCATTGTCGGCTTTCCCAGGTAGTGCTAGAGGTAAAATTCCCACCTACCAATGTAAGAGACACACAGGTTCAATCCCTGGTTTGAGAAGATCCCCTGGAGGAGGGCATGGCGACCCACTTCAGTATTCTTGCCTGGAGAATCCTATGGACAGAGGAGCCTGGCAGGCTATAGTCCATAGAGTCGCAAAGAGACAGACATGACTGAAGCGACTTAGCACACACACACATTATCATTAAACCACTTAAAGAATTAAAATTAAGAGAAAAGTGAAAGATGATACATGTGACTTCAAGGAAGATCTCCAAGCCGTGGCTTCACACTACACATTCTAATGATCTAATAAAATGCAAAAGACACTCAAATAGCATAAAGACTTTTTTCTATTATTTAAACAATGTCATAAGAAGCAAATAATTTAAGAACTAAAGGTTTCCTATTTTAACCTGATCTAGCACACTTCCACTTGACAGTGATTTTAGTGCCAGTATAAATTATTAAATTTAATTCAGTCAAGAATTTCGTTTTAATAAACCTTTTTTTTCTCTTTGACTTAAAATGATTATTTCAGTAAGAAATGCACAATGAAAACAAATTAGAGACTGTATATAAGAAAATCCCCAATCATGGCATCTGAGTGAATTTATAAATGACAACAGTACAATTATTGGAAAGATAAAGTGCTCAATATTGTTGCTGCTATTCCAGTATAATTTTATTTATCTGATCTTTATTACATATTTAGGATACTCAGTGCTAAAAGGGAACCATACTCTACATTCAGTAAAAATGAATATAGGCGACTGGATTAACAACATTGTCAAGCACATATAATTAGAGAAATTATTTTGAAACTTCATCAAGTCCGAATTATAAGATTTACAGGGTAATGGGCACAGAATGTAATGATTTAGCATGTTTATGTACCAGTGTTTTCTTTATACAATCCACAAACTTGCATTTGAACTCTTCAAATAGAAAATAAATATTAAATAGGATTTTGTCTTTTTTTCCAGACTCTATAAAATAATCTTCTCAGTTTGACCTGGGTTTTCTGACCTTTCCCACCTCTAGTGACATGAAGGAAGAAGCAACCAGAACTGAATTCTGCTTCCCCAGAAGATTAAGAAAATAGTTCAACCGAAGGCATGTAGGTATAACTACTTTGTGAAGGGCCACAAGGGAGAAAAAAATGCCAATAAACTCATTATAATTTGCCATGTTTGGATGCCATTACTATAGTTAAGTGATCACGTTAGTGGCTCAGTCGTGTCTGACTCTTTGCGACTCCATGCATTGTAGGCTGCCAGGTTTCTCTATCCATGGGATTCTCCAGGCAAGAATACAGGAGTGGGTAGCCATTCCCTTTGCCAGCATTATCTTCCCAGCTCAGCGATCAAATCCATGTCTCTGTCATTGCAGGTGGATTCTTTACAGTCTGAGCCACCAGGGAAGCCCAAGTAATCATCAAAATAAAAGAATAAGTCTCTGATTACCAAATAGGCTCCTAACACTTACTAAACACGTATGGCATGTTTCTAATGTCAGTTATCACTGCTGATTTTGTGTGTTTAAATGTCTCTGATCTTAACAGTATGGTCAGAGGATGGAGATAAACACAAAAGGGCTCGATGCTTGCTACCATACCTGGGCTTCCTCTTGTTGCTTTTTAAGCTGTTCAAGCATCTGCTGAAATTCAGCTTCTTTCTGTTCAGCCTCTTCCAGCGTTGCCTGATTCTGTTCTTCATAGGCCATGGCCACCACAGCCAGGATCAAATTTATTAGATAGAAGGAGCCCAAGAAAATGACCAGCACAAAAAATATCATGTATGTTTTCCCAGCAGCACGTAGTGTCTGCAAAGATGGAAGAGATATTTTATTAACTTTTATACAGAATGTTACAAGCATGCATTCTCAGTAATAAAGTATTTTATTACAGTTCTCTTGATCTCAGGAGTTCATGCTTCCCAGAAGAATCATTCTATCTGTTCTCACCAGTTGATAAAGGTTTTCCCAGAAGTCTTGAGTCATGAGACGAAATAAGGACAGGAAAGCCCAGCTAAAGGTGTCGAAGCTTGTATAGCCATAGTTGGGGTTTCGACCAGCCTTCACACAGATGTATCCTTCTGGACACTGGCTGTGATTAGGTGAAAAGAAAGAGAGGACATCGTCACTGCAAGTTGCATGGCTGGCTTTCCTGTTTTTATAGACCCTGATGTCTATTTTATGCAGCACAAGAAAAGCAGATTGTTCTCACTTTACCCAGTGCTGAGTCCAGGACTAAGAGGACTGATTTACATAACAACAGAATCTGCTAAGTCTATTTGTGGATTTCTCTGTGATTCATGATTGCCATTATTATATTTATCGTGCCTCCCTGTAGAAGCAATCATATTATGATTACTATCTTCTGAGATTTGTGAAGATGAACAGAAAAATAAGTCTGCAGGGAAAAATTTGATTTTCACTGAAGATATCTAGAGGCAGAAGTGTGTTGAGCGTGGAGGTAGGAAAGCGGGGTAAGAAAAAGATAGGGAGGGTGCATACCAAGAGGAGTGAATGAGTCTGCAGAGGGAACATTTCACAGTATGACCTTAATGATTAAGCTGACCCGGACTCAACATTGCGCTTGACACTCTGGGCTGTGTGATCTTGGGCAAGTTGCTGGTTTGGAATACCTTGTATGTAAGAAAAGGTTAATAACAGAACCTGCCTCCAAACTTACAATCACTGAATAAGACATCATATGTAAAACACTTAGTACAGTATAGAGAAGAGTTAAAGTCAGTCTGTTTTACTTATCATTAAGATTGGAGATAAACGCAGCACAATATCATATGAGCCAAATGCAAAGCTTGTTACCGTTGGGGATTCTGCTACAGGTACTAGTTACTAATGTCCACAATAGCACCTACCTCAGGAGGAACATCAGACTTCCATTTATGATTCTAAAATCTCATAAATACAGAAAGAACTATTTCTCTGAATTTTCCTCCTAGCTTTAGCTCCAGGGAAAATGCTTCTTAAAAACAAGCATTCACATAATGCCAGTTATGATAATTAAAAGTACTTACTGAATGCTGTAATAGCTATACATTCATTAATCCATTTAACTCTCACAGTCACCTTATAATTTATTCCTACTTATCCCATGGGGAAATCAGGGCAAGGAGAGGTGATATTATATGGTGAGGTTCGGGTTTGAATTCGTGTAAACTCTCGGGTCTATGCTCTTAACCATTTTGCTAAAATATGCTAAACATGTACTCACTACAGATCAGATACTGACATTATCTTCAGATATATTTTATGCCATGGAGACCACATTAGTATATATAGAATATCACACTTATAAAAGAACATGGTTATGAATTCTATTAACTTGAGCTTTTTATGTACATGTATTGTTTTTCTTTCTATTTTCCATTGAACTAATTTGGAAGATAAGCTGTGACCTAGTATGGAAAAATAATTGCTGCATGAGTGTGTGAAGGAGGTGACAATCCACACTTATCCCAGCTATTTTGAGTCAGCGTGAAGTGGAATTTATGGAGGGCTTTGAATGAGGAGCAAGCGGGGGCAGGGTAGGCGGGAGGTGGCAGGCTAAGGCCTATGGAGCAGTGTGGACTGAGGCGCGACACAAAACAGCACTTACCCTGCATCAGAGCTGTTGCCACAAAGCAGAGCATCATTTTGCCCTTCCAAAAAATAAAAGTGACCTATTTAAAGAGCAAAGAATAGAGAGAATCATTTTGAAGAACCTTCAAAACGCTTCAGCCACTGTGTGTGGGTAATAAAGCTTACATTTTTTTAAAGCATAATAAAACTGATAAAATAATAAATATGTGTATGAAGTGAACTGAAGTGAAAGTCACTCGTGTCTGACTCCTTTGTGACCCCATGGACTATACAGTCCATGGAATCCTCCAGGTCAGAATACTGGAGTGGGTAGCCTTTCCCTTCTCCAGGGGATCTTCCCAACCCAGGGATCGAACCCAGGTCTCCCCCATTGCAGGCGGATTCTCTACCAGCTGAGCCACCAGGGAAGCCCAAATATGTGTACGGCTAAATGAAAATAATAACTGATACCATACAAATATCACAAACATTTTTGATTAAACACATGCTTAGGAAATCTGTTTAAAAAGAAATGTTTCCAAGATGTAACTATTATAGCATTCCCTATTAGTATTTATTGCAAATATAAACTCAAATATATTTGAAATATATATATCAAATATATCGCTTAAGTAAGTATTAGTCTCTTAGTCACGTCCAGCTCTTTGCAACTCCATGGACTGTAGCCCGTCAGGCTCCTCTGTCCATGGAATTTTCCAGGCAAGAATACTGGAGTGCTATTCCTTTCTCCAGTGAATCTTTCTAACCCAGTGATCAAATCCAGGTGAGATAATTCAAAAAAGAGTTGCCAAACTGATGTTTTTTACTTGGCACAGAAAGTGAGAGAAAGAAAAGCCTTGCTGCTTCTAAATGCTGCCATGAAAAAACATTTTACTCTACAAATACATTTTGTCTGGACTCAAAATGGATTCAGACATTTTTTTCCCGCCACTTTTAACAGGTTCTTGTGAAAAGTGGGCTTAGGTGTTTGCCCTTTCCATGATGCTATAAATAAGTGTTTTGTTTTGAGTTTTGGCTTGATTATTATCTTTCAAGATAAACTTGTCCCTTTGGAGATAAAGATTTTCTAAGTATACCTAGTTTTTATTCTTAAGGAATACCTTATACATGATGCTAATAAGTTGCAAAGAATATCTCAGGAAACAGACAAAAGGATAAACATACATATTTACATATTCACATGCAAAAACACACAGACATAAACACATTAAAACACACACACATATACTTCACAAATTTTTTTTTAGTTTTCAGAAATACTGAGAGTCTATATTCAAAGAATATCTTACTTTATTACGTAGGACAATCTGAGTCATAGTTTTACGAAAAAAATTAGATCACTACCTCATAACATATATCAAAAAATAATTCTAAAGATTTAGAAACAAGTCCATTAATATAAAAATATGAAGACGTTCTATACTGTAGAATATATGAGGCTGTTTTATATGTAGAATATCTAGGTGAAAATTTGTATTCTCTCTGAATTCAGAGGCATTTATAAACTTAAATATGGGGGGGGGGACCTACAAATTTGATGACTTGATTGCCTAAAAATCTAGTCATTTAGGCATCAAAAACAATGAGAAGAAAAACAAGCTAGAGAATACATTTGCAAAAAAAAAGACAAAAGGTTAATATACTTGATAAATTATAGAATTCTTAGGAATTTCCCAAAATATACTATCATTTCATAGAATAATGAGTAAAAATACCAACAGGTAATTCACACTATATAAAATATATTAATTGCTAATGCTACTGATAAACATAAGTGATACCACATTAATAATTAAAAAGAGGATATACTTTTCTCTCTACCATACAGTAACAGTTAATATTAATGGGAATTCAGTAAGATAGACACTGCTACAGGAGTTATATAATTTGATCTCTCGGAATTTGAGACTATGCCTCTCTAGCCATCTTTCATTCAAAGATGGGCACATAAAAGACAGAAATGGTATGGACCTAACAGAAGCAGAAGATATTAGGAAGAAGTGACAACAATACATAGAAGAGCTATACAAAAAAAAAGATCTTCATGACCAGATAACCATGATGGTGTGATCACTCATCTTGAGCCAGACATCCTGGAATGTGAAGTCAAGTGGGACTTAGGAAGCATCACTACAAACAAAGCTAATGGTAAACTATTTCAAATCCTAAAAGATGATGCTGTTAAAGTGCTGTACTCAATATGCCAGCAAATTTGGAAAACTCAGCAGTGGCCACAGGACAGGAAGTGGTCAGTTTTCATTCCAATCCCAAAGAAAGGCAATGCCAAAGAATGTTCAAACTACCACACAATTGCACTCATCACACATGCTAACAATGTAATGCTCAAAATTCTCTAAACCAGGCTTCAACAATACATGAATCGTGAACTTCCAGATGTTCAAGCTGGTTTTAGAAAAGGCAGAAGAACCAGAGATCAAATTGCCAACATCCGTTCGATCACTGAAAAAGCAAGAGAATACCGGAAAAACATTTACTTCTGCTCTATTGAGTATGCCAAAGCCTTTGATTATGTGGATCACAACAAATGAAAATTTTTAAAGAGATGGGGATACCAGACCACCTGACCTGTCTCCTGAGAAATCTGTATGCAGGTTAAGAAGCAAGATTTAGAACTGAACATGGAACTATAGACTGGTTGTTGCTGGGAAAGGAATATGTCAACACTGCATACTGTCACCCCGTTTACTTAACTTAATGCAGAGTACATCATGCAAAATGCCAGGCTGGATGAAGCACAACCTGGAATCAAGACTGCTAGGAGAAATATCAATAACCTCAGATATGCAGATGACACTACCCTTACGGCAGAAAGAGAAGAACTAAAGATCCTCTTGATGAAAGGGAAAGAGGAGAGTGAAAATTTGGCTTTAAAACTCAACATTAAGAAAATGAAGATCATGGCATCTGGTCCCATCACTTCATGGCAAATAGATGGGGAAACAATGGAAACAGTGACAGACTTTATTTTGGGGGGCTCCACAATCACTGTAGATGGTAACTGCAGCCATGAAATTAAAATACCCTTGCTCCTTGGAAGAAAAGTTATGACCAAACTAGACAGCATATTAAAAAACAGAGACATTGTTTAGCCAGCAAAGATCCATCTAGTCAAAGCTATGGTTTTTCCAGTAGTCATGTATGGATGTAAGAGTCAGACTATAAAGAAAGCTGAGCACCAAGGAATTGATGCTTTTGAACTGTGGCATTGAAGAAGACTCTTGAGAGTCCCTTGGACTGCAAGGACATCCAATGAGTCAGTCCTAAAGGAAATCAGTCCCGAATATTCACTGGAAGGAGTGACTCTGAAGCTGAAACTCCAATACTTTGGCCACCTGAAGTGAAGAACTGACTCATTGGAAAAGATCCTGATGCTGGGAAAGATTGAAGGCATGAGGAAAAGGGGATGACAGAGGATGAGATGGTTGGATGGCATCACATACTCGATGGACATGAGTATGAGCAAGCTGCAGGAGCTGGTGATGGACAGGGAAGCCTGGTGTGCTGCAGTCCATGTGGTCGCAAAGCATCGGACCACCACCGAGTTTCTGAACTGAACTGAACTAAGCCTTAATATGGTCAAACTCTTTGACATTCCAAAATTCTATTAGTATAAATCTATCTGAAAGAAACAATCAGAAATACATGAAAAATTTATGTGCAAAGATTGTCACTATGCTGCTATTATAATATTAATAAATAGGAAAGCCCATAAATAATGAAATCATTTGTTTTATTTATTCACTTAGCTAGTGAACCTTAATCTGTCCAGTATAAATCTTCATACCAATACTAACTCTTAAAACATTAATATATTGTGGGAAATGATAAATTTTCATATACTTCTAAAAGTCATGAAAGATACCTCAGACTAAGTATCCCTGTGGAATAATGATAATCAAGAGACCAATGGAAGCTGGCTAGTTAATTGTACACAGAGAATGAGGAATTTGGACATTCCAATGACAGAGGGGCTGCCTTCAATAAGAAATTATACTGAAGTATGTGTGTGTGTTTAGTTGCTAAGTCATGTCTAACTCTGTAGCCTGCCAGGCTCCTCTGTCCATGAGATTTCCCAGGTAAGAATACTGGAGTGGGTTGCCGTTTTCTTCTCCAGGGGATCTTCCCAACCCAGGGATCAAACCCACATATCCTTCATTGGAAGGCAGATTCTTTAGCGCTAAACTACCAGGGAAGCCCTATACTGAAGTATATCATTACTATGTTTTTAAGTCCATCTCTAAAATAAAAATCAAACAATTCTAATATAATGATTGATACCAAAGAGATAAGCTGGAATAAAAATATTATAAACGTAGGTTTTGAGTTTATACTTTCTCATTAATAAGTGACGCTGGACTAAGGCTGCTTAACTTAACTTTCTGATGAGTACACAAATTCAGATGTCATCTTGATTTTTCTACTCCCAGATACATCATAAGTGCTCAGTACATATATTGAGTCAAATTTCTCAGTCTTCTTAACAATCCATTTCAGTAAAATACACTGAATACTTAAAATTACTGATTTATTTATTAAGATGACTGAAAACTCTTGATCAACATCTTTCAAATAAATATTTTTGCTTATACAGCATTATATTGTATTGCTTTCAAGACTCGTTGGGGAAAAGAATATGTCTTCAAATGGTACTTTTATCATGTTGCTCAAAAGATAAGGAAAAAGGAGTAACGTATCATTTGATTTCTATATCACATATATTGCATACATGTGTGCTCAGTCGTTTCAGTCGTGTCTGACTCTTTGCAACCCCATGGACTGTAGCCCACCAGGCTCCTCTGTCCATGGGATTCTCCAGGCAAGAATACTAGAGTGGGTTGCCATGTTCTCCTCCAGAGGATCTTCCCAACCCAGGAATCAAACCCGTGTCTCCTGCATTGCAGGCAGATTCTCCACCACTGAGCCACCAGGGGACTTCCCATCACATATATTAAGCTATCTTAAACTGGTCTAACTAATTTGGTTCACATCAAAATTGAGACACTTTTCACTATATATACTTTTAAAAAAAATATTTAAGGGACTAAATAGCTTAATGGTTAAAAGAGTATATCTTACCTTTATCTTCAATATATTCATCCCAATTAAACATGCTCACTGTCCTATTGAAAGTGGTACCGTTCCCATCCAATGAGTTATTAAAGAAAGAAGTGATGTTTAGTTCAAAGGAAGAATTATCTGGGGGCCATTGCAAACATTTGTTTCGCAGGTTGCCCATAAACAGCTGTAATCCTATTAGTGCAAACACGCTCAGGCAGAACACAGTCAGGATCATTACATCTGAGAGCTTCTTCACCGACTGGATTAGGGCCCCCACAATGGTCTTCAGGCCTACAAATAAAGTCAAAGGGAGGAATTTAAATATACTATTCAACAGCTATGTTATAGAGAAAAACATCAGGAGCTTGTCCTGGAAAATAAAGATGTCATGCAGAATGCCAACAATATTAGTTTAATGTTTGTGACTGAATAACACTTTCATGAAAAGCCTGCTAGCTGGTGAAAATGAATGAAAGCAGAATTTGTATTTTCATTAGAAAACTGTGAATGGAAACAAACCAAAAGTGTATTTCCAAATACTCCTTAGAGCAAAAGAAATGGTTTTGATATTCATGCTTAAACATCAACCTTGTATAAATACTTTGCTTTTATTTGCAGATGTCTTACTCCCTAACCTCTGATTTTAGAAAAATCTGTATGAATAAAATAGTAAGAAATCTTGAAGTCACTGAATTGTGAGGTTATATATTTGTGAATTCTATCAGCTTGAGAATGGGTTAAAAAAGGAAGACATCTGAAAACTGAGTCCCATGCAGCACTCATGCTATCTCTTGCTCTTTTATTTATCTGAAGTTAACATAATTACCAATTTTAGACCTAACTGGTCAAATTTGCATCAGTTCGAATGCCTCATAGTTTGGCTTCTATGCGGAAAGCTTGATGTTACAGGACGCAAACCATGTAGCCTGTTACTGCAAAGGCCTCATGCAAAAACTTGTTAAACTCAAAGGCTGATTTAGAACTGCTCATTTTAAAGAAAACAACTAGTAAAAGCAAAGAATCAAATCCATCCAAAACATGATGTACTGATTCTTGCTTTTTTACAAACATTTGCAATAAGTGAAAAGCAACAAGGCTTACGCACAAAAGCTGTGATTGCACCACTAATGCTGCTGAAGTCAGCCTCAGTGTTTAACCTAGCTCTCACCTGGAATGACTGAAATTGTTTTCAATGCTCGGAGAACTCTGAAGGTTCTCAACGCTGAGACATTGCCCAGGTCCACAAACTCTGTCACATATCTGTAATAGGGAGTTCACACACAAACACAATAACAGAACACAAGAAACAGTTGGAGATATAAGGGGCCTACCACCTTATACCACTTTCTTCTTACCTGGAATTACAGAAATAGTTTTCAAAGCTCTCAAGACTCTGAAAGTTCGAAGAGCTGAAACATTGCCTAGGTTTACAAATTCTGTTACATACCTGTAGAATTAAATCAGAGTTATTCAAAATTTAGGGAAATCTAAGTTGGTCTTTCAAGACCTTTTCAACTTCAATGAGTGTTGCCATCATATCTCCCAATTAAGAGGAAAATGGCATTGCTGTTGATCATAATCTCTATTACTTGGGAAACATTTTATTGCTTTATAGCACTAATTGAAATCAAAGCCATGTAATTTACTATGATAGTGCCTAATTTCTCCAAAGTGCATAATTTGATCAGAAGAAAAAATATCCTAAATTCACAGGATAACCAAGAAACATGCTTGATCTGTTAAGGGAAGCCACCAAGGAGAAATACAGTATAGACTTCCACTAATGATTTAGTCTTCCTGGACAGAAAATATATTAAGGTACTTACGCAAAAGTAATGACTGTGAAATCCAACCAATTCCATGGGTCCCGTAGAAATGTGAAATCTTCTAAACAAAAGCCCCTTGCAAGTATTTTTATAAGTGATTCAAAAGTATAAATTCCTGTAAAGGTGTACCTGAGAGAAAATAGCCAAGCCCACATTAAAGATCCTGAAGGTAATTTCCATGTAAACATATTAAAGGAGAAAAACAACAAATAAAAATTAGAGGGTTCTATATAGGTCTATGTTGGTCTTCCCATGATTTAGACCATAGGTAGGGATTAAGGAAAAAAAAAAAAAAAGAAACATTACATACTGAAAGACATTCTCATTGACTATATATGAGTATTGTACTTGCTTGCATTAATTAATTTGAAGGCCCAAATAATATGATTCTATACATATTAAATGAAATACACTGGTTTGGTTCTAATTTAAGCAAGTAGTTACTAATACAAAAATAAATGAAGACTTTTTTGTTTAATAAAGTGCGCATCATTAAGAGCCATGAAATATAAACTAATAAATCATAGAAAAGTGATAGCTATGAGGAAAAGAACATACAAACTATGTATAAATTTATCATCAGATACTAGTAACAGTGATGATCTTGAAAAGAGTGTAAGACTCACAAGGAAGATAAAGGGCTATACATATCGGCAGTCAAATCAGTTCTCAGGTTTCAAGGCCCCTCTGTCTCCATGGGTTCTGTCACCAGGATTCAAACCACGGATCTTGAATACTGTACACCATCTACTATTGGTTGAATCTGTAGATATAGAACCCACAGATAAGAAATCCGCAGATGGGGAGAGCCAACTGTAACTGAATGTATTATAATCCATCCTAAGGATAACCTGGTTCGAATATTCTTAATAAAATTCTAAATGGAGTATATAATACACGTGATAGCTCATTAAATTCCAAATAGCAAAAAAAAAAAAAAAGATGACTGGTTTTAGTACTGGCATTTCGTGGGTTTGCAACCATGGCCAAATTGCTTATTTATTTCGCTAAGCCTTGGTTCATTTTGCTACACTAGGGAAGAAGAAAAACCATTTCATAGGATTGCTGTCAGGATCAAATTAGTTAAAATATATTAAATCTCTTACAACTTAATGTGCCTTATATGGTAGAAAATCAATAAATTACTTTCCTAATTTCCTAAATCATAGAGAACACTTCTTAACAACAAATATCTGGTTTTTCTCATTCTACCCCACTTTGCCCATGTGTGTAGAGATAGCCAATGCCCTTCACCCTCCTTTGTGTTGAAAAACAGCAACAAAAAAATTATTTAAGAAAACATTGGGCGGCCAACTATTTGAAATAATTTTCTTTCATAGTTAATAAAAAGCACAAGAGGGATTCAGTTGTAGTTTTGTAAAACAAGAGCTTTATCAGGTACATTTAGAAAATGGATAAAAATTCCAGAATGAATAAATGCTATTAATGTCCCTTCTCACTCTACTTTTAATCATAAATCTTCATATCACTTATACATAGCAAAATATCAGCTTGATTTTAAGTGCAGTAAAATAGAATAGCATTGTGTTGCCAATGTACTGTGTTATGTATTGTCTTAATCTATAAAAGATGTTTCTTTGCACCTTCAACTGACTTTAGTCAAAGTAATCACTGATTTTTCATTTTGACTGGCAGTGATTCAGGGCACATGCTTAATTCTCAGCTTGTTCAAGTGTGTTCACATGAAAACACTCATAAGTGAATGATGTGGATCAGCCACGTGAGGGCACTACAACCTAGAGAACACAGAAAAACACCAGTTCAAAGAAGAAATATTTTTCCTTTCTTGCTAGAAAGAAACAAAAAATAAGAGAAACTTAAAGATGACTTCATCATGAGTGTATAAAACCAGCAGATCCTCTGTGTCTGTTAGGTTACTGGCCCTACTGAAGGGGGCAGCAGAGGATGAGATGGCTAGATAGCATCACTGACTGCACACGAACCAGAGCAAATTCCAGGAGATAGAGGATGGCAGAGGAGCCTGGACGGCTACAGTCCATGAGGTCACAAAGAACTGAACATGACTTAGCGACTGAACAATAACAACCTAGTGTAGAAAACAACCCCTTGGCAGATTGGCATCATTCAAAATACATAGTTCCCAGCCTCAAACATGCTCAACACAGTCTTAATATTTCTCCACTTCACTGTCCCCACTATTCTGCAAAGATAATTCCGAATATTCTCCACTCTTCCTTGATCGCCAGTCTTCCTTCTCTACCCATTTCAAACTCATGACCTTATTTCCTATCTTATTGAGAGAAGAGATAGCATCAGGTCATATCTTTACTTCCTAACCCCAAATTGACAAACTCTCTGTATTGAGATTCTTTCCTCCTTCCCATTTCAATGGAGGGAGTTGTCAACCCCTCTACCCAAACTCTGGACCCCTTCCACCTTTCCAGAACACTTCAGCAATCTCTTTATCTCTTTCTTCTCTTATCTTTAATATCTCCATTAGTAACTCTATCTGCTCTTATGATCAACACAAACTTGCTTAATTCTCTCTTACTTTTTTGGCATAAAAGAGAATACTGCAGAATAGAACACAATCCTCTAACCACTTATAGACTTCTCTTTTCCAATTTCACAGCCAAGCTTCTTAGAAGAGATGTTTATCTTTACTTTCCTTCATTTATCTACCACATCCTTAGCCTACCAGTTTTCTTCCTAAATATGACAAATATCTTCATGTTGTGTAACTGAAAACAAAAGGATAATTTTGAGTTCTTGTCTGACTTGTTCTCTCAATAGAGTTTGACAAGCCTGATTCTTCCCCTTTTAATTATGTTCTCTTACTTTTGCTTTCATGAGATCCTAATCCTTTGATATTTTACGCTTCATGGGCAACAATTTTTAATATCCTTTGAAATGTTATATTTCCCTTTTTAAAAAGGACAGAGGATATCCAAGACATTTTCCCTCTCTTGCTATATTTATCCTAGTAGAGCTCATTAACACACATAGCTCCAAGTATATTTACATACCCACTGATCTCAAGTATTTTTCTCCAGACTAGCCCTCTCTAGTTCATGGACTTCTCTGCTGGCTCAGATGGTAAAGTGTCTGCCTGCAGTGTGGGAGGCCTGGGTTCGATCCCTGGATCAGGAAGATCCCCTGGAGGAGGAAATGGCAAACCACTCCAGCACTCTTGCCTGAAAAATCCCATGGAGGAGCCTGGTAGGCTCTAGTTCAGGGGGTCACAGAGAGTCGGACATGACTGAGCTACTTCACTCTAGCCCTCTCTTCTGAACTCAGTAATCCATATTACATCTGCACTTACATGCACTTATTTCATTGACACTTCAAGTTTTTTTGAGTTCTACAACTAAACTAAAAATGTTTTAATCCTATCCCTCTTCTCTTCTCAAATACTGCTCCTTTGACATCTCTGTATCACAATGTCTCATGATTTAGCCAGGATGAATGTGAGATTTGGTCACCTGATGTGAAGAACTGATTCATTGGAAAAGACCCTGATGCTGGGGAAGATTGAAGGCAGGAGAAGGAGACGACAGAGGATGAGATGGTTGGACGGCATCACCGACTCCATGGACATGAGTTTCAGCGAGCTTCGGGAGTTGGTGATGGACAGGGAAGCCCTGCGTGATGCAGCCACAGGGTTGCCAGGAGTAGGACATGACTGAGCAACTGAACTGACTGACTGACTCAGCCAGGAACCTAGGAGCCATCTTGCATTTTTCTTTTCCCTGAACATCCACATTCACCTTAACACTAAATATTGTCAATTCTATCTGCTATGCCTGGATTCAGTGCACTTTTCCCACAATCCTCATAATACTACCTAGTCTCGGTACCCATCAAATCTAATGTAAATTACTATAATTTCACCCGAGCTGTTCTTTCTGAACCCATGCTTGACTCTAATCATCTGCACACTGTACCAAAATGACCTTTGTAAATCTAATTTGGATCATTTCAATAGCTTTCCACTACCTTAGGATAATGATCAAATAGCTTAACAAACAGAGTAAAGAGTCTAGGAGGTCTAATTCTTGTCCACCCTAAGTTCAGCTTGCTTAGTCATTTCACTTTCCCAAGTCTGATATTATTGCAATTATTTTAGGTCATGGAATGAAGCAAGCTCTCTTTCAAGTCAGGAACTTAACAAATGTTACCTCTTTCCCCTGAATATGCTGTTTACCTCATGTTAGCCAACTCAAACTTTTCCTCCAGCACTCAGATCAGAAGTTATTTTCAGTAAAACCTGTCCACAATAGCACCTTTCCTGATTAGGTCTATCAGAAATATATCCTCGTAGCATCAGATGCTATTCTTCCAATGGCTAACTGATTTTTTTCCCATTAGATGGTCAACTTCATGAGGGCCAACTTCATGAGGGTCAACTTCATGTCTATATTGTTCACCACCATACACCCTTGCCATTTTGTAGGGTCAGTTGACTATTGAATGATGTTAGTTTGGAACTTTGTTTACTACTAAGTGAAGTACATTTTTCCTTTTTAGTGATATATTTATAAATATGGATCAAAAATACAGCATGAAATTTGTTTCCACATATGTCAAGTGCACAGTAAACCAAATAAAACTATTTTCCTTTTAAATCAAATAAGAGATAACTAGAGTCAGATTTTTATGCTTTTAGTTTAATAGATAATCTCCAAATAGAGAGTTTCAAAATCCATTACTTTTTAAATCACTATAAATTTATTTTATCAGTCTCATACCTGGAGTCTCATACCTTTAAGATACCTGGAGTCTGGTGAGTGATTGAAATAGTAGGGTTTCAGATAATGATAACAAATACACAAATATGAAAAAAAAGTATAGACATGGTATTGGTGATACCATACACTGAAAAATTATAGAAATTCCATGTCAAGGCAGATTTCAAGGGACCAGAACTAGTAACAAAATGCATATGCTGTTGTTGTTGTTTAGCCATTAAGTCGTGTCCAACTCTTTTGCAAGCCCATGGACTGTAGCCCACCACGCTCTTCTGTCCACCGAATTTCCCAGGCAAGAATACTAGAATAGGGTACCATTTCCTTCTCCAGGGAATCTTCCTGACTCAGGGATTAAACCCTTGTCTCTTACATTGGCAGGTGGGTTACTACTGCGCCACC